TCCCCTATAAAAACACTTGATTTATTTAATATATTTAATTAAAAAATTATAGTATATCCTTAATCTATTAAATATTTAATTTCATATATTATAGTTAATATGAATTTATACGTTATTTTTTAAACGAATGATCCTCATAAATAAGCGTTTTAATAATAACAATTAAGTATATTTTGAACTTCAATTCTATCTTAAATAAAACAAATATATAAAATGTTTTTTTAATTTCTTTAACTATCCATTAATCGTTTTTTAAAAATTCCATTAACTATACTTGGAATTATATTACTATTTTTTTTATTTTTTCATCATATATTTTTTTTACTAATTCTTTCCAAATTTATTATTTATAATTCAAAATTGCATTTAAATGTATTAAAATTTTAATTAAACTTAGACGGTATAATACGACAGTAAATTTACGTGTTCATTATATTATTAATTCATTTATCGTAAAATTTAATTATTAACAATATCTTTTATAATTCAAATTAATAAAAAGAATCATCCTTTTTGTATACAATATGTTTCCACAGAAAAATATCTAATTTTTATCACAATTTTCATTTTTTCATGTTTCAGAAAATATTTTGAATCTACTTATGTTAAATTTCAAGATACATTAATTATAACCAAAACTTAAAATATCTGTTTGAATGATGTATTTAGCATTGAGTAATATTCATTAATTATGAAATACCAATGAATATTGATATTTCTATGGGCTTAAAATTAAAAAAAAACTTTAAAGTGGTATTAGTTGTTGAAAGTATCTCAAGATACATTTCATTTTTATTACATAAAGATTATTTTTTAAATTTTGATTTATATTTAAAACAAAAGTATCCAAAATAAATAAATAAATATATTTTACTTGAATAATTGTTGCTATTTTTTATATTAATGTCTATAATTTTTTTGTAAAAAAAATGTAAATTCTTTGAATTATCGTATATAATAATTATCGAACAGATTATGTAAAATATTAGCAATAAAACGTAATAATATTATATAATAATAATATTATATGTTAGAAAATTCCGTATTGGTATTTTATATAATTACTTTTTAATTTGAAAATTTTGTTAATAAATAATATAATTTTATATAATTTTATAATTATTGTATAAAGTTTAATATAATAATTAAACTAAAATAAAAATATTGAATCAATAATGAATGATTTCGATTTAAATAAATATATATTTTTATTAATTTTTAATATAATTAATCTCACTTTTTATTTTTGTGTATCATATATTTATTACTGGACACGTTTAGTCGAAGGTTTGATCGTCCGACCAGTCTTATCAAATCTTATAGTTTATTACTACAATCAGGGAAAAACAATTTCGTAAATATATTTATACGTTCATATTCTGCAGTTTCTAATTATAAATAATTAACAAGACCTACATTGATTGATTCCTTCCATATTTTTCTTTAAATATCACATAAAATCACACATTTTAGTATATGTATAACTTTTATATCAATTTTTTTCTATTTTCCCATTGTTTGTGGGTTGTGTGCATGTATGTTCATGTATTTGATCATAATTATTTGTCGAAATAGATCTACTAGATTATTTTTATTGACTAAGAAATTAACAAAACAGTGTACTTTTTATAAAATATTAATAAGAATTAAATTTTTATTTGTGATTAATAGGAAAATATTTATAACCATTATCATAAAGTTTTTTAAATAGAAGTTATTATACATGTGTGAATAAATATTTTTTTCATCTATAGTATTTCAAATAGTTTTTATTTAAATAATTTGTATTTCTATGCGTAACTTGATACAACATTTCCATTTGAAATCAAATCAAATTTAAATTAAAACCTAAATCATTATATACTGATAGATTGATCACGTTTTATAAAGTCAATAAATAGAATATTTACAGTTTTTTCTTAGAATTTTAATATCTAAAATACAACTACATTTGTTAATTGTCACTTGAATGAAAAATAAATGAAAATATTGAGAAAAAGTAAAACAAATTTGACATACATAAATTGTAAACATTTTTTAAATATGGTCAACATAAAAAATATCTACTCTTATGATATTAAAAATTACGTTATATGAGTTTTTTATATGACTTTATATGAACTTATGTTAAACAAATTAATGGTATTTATCATTTCTTCGTTTAAAAAGATTTGTTATATTCCAAATCCATTTTACTTAATTATTATAATATAATATACCACATCTATGATTATGTACTCATGAAAATTATACTAATCCATTCGATTCTTGCAGATGACAGTATTATGGATTTAATTCTTGAAAATCGCATTGAAAATACTATGTTTCGAACTGAAATTATTTTAATTTGTTTCGATTGAATTCATGTAAAAGAAAAAGTTGTCAAAGATGCCTTTCCGGAAGATAGATGCTTACCAGTAATGATTCTATATTGTCCTTAGAATTTTGTTATTAGTTTTATTTTTTTCGATGGAAGGAAGTTCAACTGATAGATTGTTTTATGGAACAGCAATATTTGAGTAATCCAGTGCCATGAATGCAGAGGTCCTGTCTTTTTTTTTATTCCATTTAAAGATAACGAGATGATATTTGCTTTATATGGTTTTTAAAAAAATTTTCTTCGTGTAATTGTCTTCGTTGCTTCCTACTCATAGTTGGTTTGCTGTACATCTATGTTCATAGCTTCTTTTAATTTCTTTTTAGGACTTTCTTTTAATTTCTTCCAATGAAGGTTTGTTAAGTCTGACATACCTTCTTGAAGCGGCAACTTGTAGCAAGCACAACAATTTAGTAAATGATGTGTACCGATCTGAGAATCGCTTTGATTTTTATCTTACTTATCTTCTCGAATGTATGTTTGAGATTATTTATATCTGTATTCATCTCCACTAGTAAGTAACGTCTGCAACTTGCTTTGGAATTTTAGTTTGCCTCGGTATATCGAGGTTTGAAGATTATGACACCACTAGCTTAAGTAATTTGTTGATCTTTTAAAGCCTTTGAACTGTCTTTAGATAAACTATTTAGGTAGCACCTCGTTACCATTTTTCACCAAGTTATATACATTTTATGAATATCAATAGAATTATCATATGTGAAACTGTCGAGATTAGATAATGTATGACATTAATGGCCAAAAATTTATATTTATATGATTTTAATTAGTTTGTATTTTCAATAAATTTTGCAAATTAAACAGTAGCAGTAATATGATAAAAGTGTAGCCAAATATGTCGAATAGAATGGTTCCGTGCTATTTGAAAGACGCACTGTTCTAACTTTTGGTATTTCCTTCGGGTTAGTTTAACAGTGGTCGTAGAAATAATGCGTAACTTTATTTCCGAGATTAGAAGGGTCGATTTCCCTACTGACTTGATAATTCGCATGTATTGATTTTATTCTTTATATTTTTTTAGAATTCAAAATAGTTTACATTTACAATTATTTTTAATTATTTTTATATTCTTGATTTAATATATATTATACACATTAATTTTGATGTTAATATTAGATTCTGTAAGTTATTAAATAATACACACATTAGAATGCGTATGTACAAGTAAGCTGAATGTGAAATTTTTCTCCTAATGTGGTATCAGGTAAACACCTCCACAATATTAACTTATGAATGTAAATTCTATTAATTTTCATCAATTTTGATACAGGGTACTATGAAAATAAATTAATGCATAAGAAGATATTCATCTTTCTCTGTCTCTCTGTATATCTCTTTGTCTCTCTCCCTCTCTCTGCTCCTCCTCCTTCTCCTCCTCCTACACTTTCTCAATCGTTTTTATTTTGTATTTATAATGTAGCCTCACAGTCACATATATATTACTTAATAAGAAATATGGAAAATGAGTTTTAATTAGTATTTAGTTTAATTTGATGCAAAAATTTGAAATGACTTTAAGAATATTATAGATTAGTAATTACAGTATAAATTAATATAATTTTAAAAATATAATGACTAAGATGATTAATAAAATATGCATCAATGAAGGCACGTTTAGATCATTTAAATATATAGAATTAAAAGTATGTTCTACGAAATTAAAGAAAATATTTAGTGAATTCCGCCTGATATTCTTAATATTTTACCTTCATGGAAAATTAAGGCTAAATATTACTTAGAAATTTTGACACATAATGTACTTAAATATACATATGCACAAATTATAACACAGAAAGTATTAGAAAGTATCAGTTAGTTGTTAATTTTCATTTCGTAAACTTAGGATTTTTTAAACTTTTAAAATATTTAAATATTTGCAAGTACTATATTAGTATATAAATTAGTCTGTTTGATCAGTAAGTAAAACCGTAATTTTATTTGTTGTTGATATTATTATTTCAATATATATTTCTATACTATAAAAGTAATTTAACATGTAAACATTTTTTATAATAAAAATCATTATTAAACCTTGAATTAATAAAATTAGTTATTAATCTAGTGGTATAAGGTATAATCGAGTTTTAAGGCATTATTAAGTACAAAATATTAAAATTAGATAATGTATTAATTTTATAAAACCTCTATTTTGTAACAGTTCAAATGTATAAATTTGGAATTTAAAATAATTTTCAATATTTTACTATTTTTATAATTTGTGAAACGTATTTAATGAATATATATGTCGTATATTTAATATTTTCAATATATGTTGAAGCATTATTTAATTATATGTTCATGATATTTTTGAAAATACAAATGAAATGGAGTAGTCATAGTAGTTAATTGTTACGGTATATATTTCTCTTAAAAAAATTAAAATACAAGTTTATTCAATTAGTATATCAATTCCATCTTTTGAGTTTTCATAATTGTTTAAATTCATAATAAAAATATTCATTTTTTGAGCATAATTTTTAATATTTATATTGTTTAAATGTTTTATTTTTTGAATGTAGTCTAGTCTGTGTATTTAAATATAATTTAATGATCTTACTTTGTTTTCTTTTTAGAAATCATAATAAAAATATCAAAAAATATTTCATTTAAAATGTTATCCAACTATTCTCGCATTTGGTTTTTTATTGTGTACGTGACGATATTTCCGAAAATCGAAAAAGCTATTCATTACACACACATACATGGGCGCTGTATGCGCAATAGAACAAATGAAAAAGTTATTGATCGAATTCCCAGATTGAACAAGAATGAAATAATTCGTAATACCCGGGATTTATTAAATCTACCTACTAGACCGCACTATTCTAAGAATGATTCTTGGCAGATAAAGAGATCAGCTTCAAGGTACATTTATGACGTTTTCAAGAATACTGTGGATAAAAATCAAGGTAATTTATATTGCATTTTATAAATATTTAGAACCATTAATTTGATTATTGAAAGCATTTCCGTTTAAAATATCATTATAAAATATTCTTTAGTATTATAAACACATTGTTTTTATTAAAAAGCATATTAAATTAAAAAATAATTTTTTTATTATATTTTTACATATTGTTTTTTATATTATCATTGTTGAAAAATATATAATAAATAATGTAAAGACTCCTTGAAATATTGTGAAGTTATTTGATTATAGAAATATAAATTAATTCTTATTCTTTTTTAATTATATTAAATTTTTGAAAATTTGTATAGTGTATTTATAAGATTCATAAGCTGTGTATTATAGGTAATTTGAATTATAGGTAACCATTTATGCTCTATGAGTTTCTCCTATGTAACGGTTTTACTCATAACGAATTATCTTCTTATATAATTAATTATACAAAATCTCAACTTTTTTTTAAATACATATTTATTTAAAGACTGTTATTATATAAATTTGAACATTGATTATTAAAAATTATAAAATCTATACCATCGAAAATTATAAATGTCAATAAATTTACAATTTATTTATATAATGATTTATCAAAATATTTATTTTTAATGATTTGTCAGTTAGTTCATTCCAATCACTTCAAATTTTACAATAATGCAATTAACAGTAGAAATAAAATATGTCATTTATAATATTTATTCAACTTTAATACTTGGTTAACTATTTTTAATGTATAATTTTTCATCTGATAAATTAAAGAATTTACGTATAAATCATAAACTTTTAGCTCAGAGCTACAATTTTACTATGCAAGATCTTCAGACTATGGAGGATAGCGATATCATTATGACGTACGCAGGTTTATATCATAACGAAGGGAATATTATATGGTTTGATGTTTCAATTACTCCAAGTATAGATTACATTATCGGGGCTGAATTACATCTTTATCCTAATACTTTAGACAAGAACTTCAAAATTTTAGTTTTCAGTATTGTATCACAAAGAAAAAATAAAAAACGTCTCCAGTTTATTGAATCAGTGACAGTTAATGCAAATTATAAGGGATGGATCAAAGTGAAGATAACTTCAATTCTGCAGTATTGGTTAAAGCATCCCAAGCATAATTTTGGTTTGCATTTATCTATTGTATATACTGAAGATAATTTTAACGAGCGTATTGATGAAATAATGGAGCTTAATACTAATTCATCAGAAAAAAATCCTTTCCTCGTAGGTTATTTTGTAAGCTCTCAAATATTTGACGAACGATTAACAGGTAAAAATAAAACAAAACGAACGTATATATTTTATATATCATTTTTACGTGTATTAATAAAAAAATTATTGGATGAACATTGTTTAAAGCAATATTCAGTAATTTAAATAAATATGATTTTGTAATCAGATGTATTATTTTTTTATTAAGGAATGCGAACATTTAAATAAAAATATATATTGACAAAAATTATTTATTTTTCAATTAAACTATGTCATTTAAATGGAAACTATTAGTTTTGTAATTAAATACTTTAATATTATTTTCTTTAAATAATGAAAATGAATATTTTATTAAAATAAATGTTTAATAATATAAAAAATAGTCTTCTTAATTAGCTAAGCAATTGTCATATTTATATTTTTCATATCGTTATATTTTACAGCTAAAAGTAGATGGAAACGAAGCGAGGCATACTCAACTACGAATTATTTAGATAATCCTTACATGTATAAAGATACGTCAAAGCGCCGAGTAAATGCTGGATCATGCAGATTGCAGAAGTTTTACGTACGTTTTCGTAACTTTGACTTTGATAATTATATTACTGCACCGGAAGGGTACGATGCTCAGTATTGTAGTGGCGAATGTCGTTTCCCTTTAAATGCTCACATGAACGCCACAAATCACGCGATCGTTCAGACTTTGGTGCACTTTTTAATGCCTGGGCGTGCACCACAAGCTTGCTGTGCACCTCGTGAACTTGCACATCTTCCTGTACTCTATTCCCGTGACGGGATTAATTACATGCTTAAGAAATATCGAAATATGATAATCAAAAGTTGCGGCTGCCATTAGTAATCAGTAGTTATTGTAATTAGGAATTCAGAGCTAGCAAGGCCCTATATAAAACAAAAGGTGAAATGGTAAACTGATTAAGGATGTTGCAATTTTTTACATTAGACTAAATTGACGATTACATCGATATTAATAATTTATTTCACTTTTTTTATGTATTAAACACAAAAGGAAAAGAGTAATAACAATGTTAACAATATAATTTAGAACATTAAATAAATACCATAAAACAATATCGATTTTAATATTAAAAAATAATTAGCTTTTTAATATTTTATGTTTAAAATTTTAACGTACGATTGACACATTAATAATAGTAATGATAATATAGTATTATAAGGTAGTTCTGAATTATGTTTATAAATATAATATATTTATAAGCATCAAATAACGTACATTTATAAGCTAATTATTATAATTTAAAATAATATTAATTCATATTAAGGTTAATTAAATACAACTTGATTGCCGCTGGTAAATTAGTATTATATATCCGTTTCTCTTATTACCAACAAATACTTTTGAAAACCTTGTAAATTTGCAACGAATAATATTACAAAAATAATAATAAAATATTTCTTATTTTAAGTTTTAATCAAATATATTAGAAATATTGTTAAGGAAAAAGGTTCTTAATGGTATCTTAATAATAACCTCTATAAAATAAAATATTTATTATAAAAACTCATTCAATTTAGAACTTTGACAAATATATTTATACATTTTAACGTGTAAATTATTCGAATTTTATTTAACAATATATTATTAACAATATATGTTCTACAATAATTGTGCGAAAACAATTAACTTCTAATTTAACTTAAAAATATAGTTAATTATTTTTTTATTAAAACGCATATATATATATTATTAATAATAGATTTTAAAATAATTTAAGTTATTGAGTAATTAATTTAGAAAAACAATTCTTATTATTCTTTGCGTTGATATTCATATGTATAGATAAAAAATTTCTATAAAAATGATGAGCTTTTAAAATCTAATTTTAATATAATATTATACAAGAAGTAATAATTAGTATAACAAGTGTATATAATAACTGGCTTTCAATTAAAAATACCGACCATTTGTAATTTAAAATATAATTATAACTATCGTAATTCGAATATGAGGAATTATAAAAAAAATTTTGTTTTATAGTTATTTTTAAATAAATCAAAATATAAACATAATTTTCTGAAAACATTCTGAGTTGTAAATAATGAAAATAACAAACATTGTTTTTAAAATTAATTAATTTTATTATAGAATTATTGTTATAAAAAATTATATAAAAAGAATATAATTTAAGTTAATTATTTTCTGTTTATTATTAAATATTTTAAAAAATTCCATGAATTACCAAATTTCATATATAGTTTTATTTAGAAAAGAATTATTAAAATTTATATATTGATAGAGTATCTCTAAATTCTAGTACTCTAAATATAATTTAAGTATTATATAATTAACACCATTTTTAAGTATTGAACAATAGATAAGTGAAAAGATTTTTAATTTTCTCTAAAAGTAGAATATAAATACAGTTTATACGTTTATAATTTTTAGTATTGATTTACTTTTATTCGCAAAATATAACTAAAACATAAATTATTTATATTTATTTATGAAATAACTAAGGATATATTTAAATCACGTATAATGTATAAATAAGAGTTAATCTATTTCAGTCTACAAATGAAAAATATTTTACATCAATCTAATTTTCGTGTAAAGTATTTTATAATACTATTTACAATATTGCGAAATTATTGGTATACTGGCGTTATCAGAAAAAATATTTTTATGACATGAAAAATTAATCATAAAAATTGGTTATTTATAAAATTAATAAAAAAATTTTTTAATAGAAGAGTTTAAATTAAATAAATAATTAAATACGTCTATTTTATATAAATGCGACAAAATTAAATTTTAAACAAAATGATAAAATCTGATTGAAAAACTGGTAGACCATGACACGCTTATACTTAATATTATTTAATGTTTATTTATAGTAAATAAAAAATCAAATTAATGAAGATTTTATAATGCAATATTACAGGTATTATGAGATTTATAAGTAATTTCACATTTATTAAATTAATAGTTGCGGGTAAAATAATTTAAAAAGAATAACATTTTAATTTATATTAAAAATTGTTAATTGATTTATTATTATATTGCTTGTTTATAATACAATTTACTTAGTTCTTGAATCAAATAAATTATTATACTTGGATCTTAACTGATATATATATATATATATATATGATTTACTGTAAATCTATATACGTTAAAAGGCTTAAATAATTAATATAATATGCAAAAGTTAAAAATTTCAAAAATTAAAAATAAATTATCAGAATAAAGTAATATAAAATAGAAAAAACACTGTTATAACTAAATTTTATTTTATTAACTTTAATTTTATTCCTTTTCAAAACATTCTTATTGATATAAAAATTAAAATTAAAATTATTAAATTAAATATTAATATAAATATTATTATTTCAATATATTCAATTATTGAAGTTCAAAGATAGATCTAAAATCACTAATTTGAATTTATAAATATTTCTATATATATATATATACTGATTTATAACCAAATATCAAATTTCACTTCTAAAATAATTATACAATTTTGAATGTGTATGTAAAATTTTGAATATGTTTACAATGATACATTTTCAATACTTTGTAATATTTTTATTATATATTTTTTGTAAATTTATTTATATGGTTTGATAGTTCGATTTTCTATTATCAAGTTTAAGTTATAAATACAAAAAATTGTAAGCTATTTTTGTAAATGGATTAATTGCACGAATATTAGGATGCAGGAATATTAGGTTTTTTCAATTTAAATACATATATAAATATATTTTTTTTATTACAAATAATTCAATCTGGAATTTTAAAGATTTTTTTTATAATCTATATTCTTGAATTTTACCAAAATTTAATGTTTTAAAGGAATCGTATGTTTTAATTTTGATTTTTTCATTAATTTTCAATTTTTCTTCTATTATATATACTATTAAATATAAAGTAATAAAAAATGTTATTTTACATTTCGTTTATATTTTATTTTATAGTTTATGTGTAATCGTATATATAGTTATTTGTATTATATTACAGAAATTCAAAGAAATTGAAAATTTTTATATATTTTATATAAAAATTTTTTATCTCTTAAAGTTGAATCAATAAGTTATTAAAAAAATATTTCTTAATTTGTCGTATATGACGTATTAAAAATTTAATTTGCGTTAAACAAATATTTTACCGTCAAATAGATCAAAATAAAATTTATTGAAATATATAATAGAATTTACAAAACTTATTGAAAATAGAATATTATAAATATAGAAATTAATTAAATATAGAATTCGGAAATATAATATAATAATCAGAAGTTTTTTTTAATTTATGACTACATATAATTCTTAAATCTGATTACTAGTTTTTACAATCTTAATTTTATATCGCATAGAATAGAATAAAATAGGAGGATTGGAGATAAAAATATTAATAAAATTGAATTTTTTATAACAAAATATTTTATAAGGTAATATTGTTTGCTTTTGTTTAAATTTTATCAATATATAGTATATTTTATATTCTTGAGTTTTCTATTTCACCTTCTACTCTCAGGATATATATATATATATATATATATATATAACCAATTAGGTGAATCGTAATTTAAAAATGATTGCTTCCAAATGTATGTAAAATCATAGATCTTTATCTCCTCATGAAATATTTGTATATTGAATATAATTTATGTTTATTTGAACTTGCCTATATTATTTATTCTTAATTTTGTTATTATATTTAGTACACTGGAAAATAAAACTAACTGTTCAATATATAAGTGCTTAATCATAATAATTTTAATTTGATTAAAAATGCAATGTAATTAATTCATGTTTAATCTTATTTGTAACTAAAGTATAAATTTAACAATATATTTACTTAAAATATACCCAGACTTATATAAGTAATTTTTATTTAATAGTAATAATGTACTAAATTTGATTAAATTTTTATTTTTTTTTCAAGTTTCACAATTTTTATTATATTAAATAATGTATTTAATCATATTTTAATGAAATAAATTTAATATTTTTATCAAATTTTGTTGAAATATTGAAATTTTTGGGTTTCATATAATAGATGCAGCCAATATATCGATATTGTCATGTATTAAATGCATTTATTCAGAATACATAGTTAAACATAAATTAATCACAGAAAGAAATATTTTATTTTAAATTTATATTATTTATAATAATTATGAAACTACTCAAAATACATATATCTAAATAAAAATGTTTCTTATTGAAAATACTTTGAATTTTAATAACAATTTGCATTTTTACTAATGCTATTCATTAAAAAAATATTGTTTTTTAATTTATAATTACATTTTTTTACCATTTAATAATTTATAATCATAAATAAATAATTAATTGATATTATCAGTAATTATAAACAAACAATGTAAATATTATTCAAAGGTATTAACAAATTTCTTAAACTTTTTTTAGAATTTGTTATTTTATATATACAAAAAAATTATTATTAAAGTTGTAGAATTAATAAATTATGTTTTTGATTACGTAAATTAATTAATTAATTTTTCTCGTTTCATAAAAAATATAGTTAAATAATTGTCACGTAATGATAGAAAATAAATGTTAATCTCTTTGTTATTTTATATTATTTTATCTGAATTTTGTTTATATATACGTCCGATTTATGTATACTACTTATGCAATTACATATTGATTATGATCTATAGAAAAAGTTTACTTTAATTAATACTTTTTTTTGTATTTTTAAGCAATATCTAAAAACAATATAATTTATATTGCAATAAGAAGCTCTGAGTAGTTTATAATGTAATATTTATACGTAAATAAAATGAAGAAGTACTGATTACATGATGTACATAATACGAAATATGGATAGTCATTAATATATATAATTAACTCCGTCCCGTTTTCTTGATTCTCGTTTATTATTTCATCTTTTATTTTCTTCTTTAAATATGGTATATTCATTATTCCGTCTTTGAGTCAGGGAGAAGGCGGCGTCAATAGTATTGAAAGTTTCATACAGCAAGAAGAGGGAGAAAAAATAGCCGAAGTTGTCAAGATCTCTGCAGATGATAAGTCATTTGACTGATAACGAGCATATAAAACGTACATTTTCATAGATATTTTTCCATTCTTCGAATAAGATACAATAAAGACTCCACGGTAGCTTGTTTGTGGAAATTATAATGCTTTTACGCGCAACATGAATTCTTGATTTTTGTAGTGTAAATTTGAGGAACTTAGTATTTTTAAATTTAAGATCTACATAATACTTTAGATAATAAAATAGTGTGATGAATTTTAAATAAAACATATAAAACTATACATATCGGTTATGATTTGCTATCATGTAAAAATTATTGAAGTTTTTGATACCACTTGTGTTGTGTTGTTCAGTATTTGATATAATATTTGATGATTTAGATAAATATTAAAGTGTTCTCAAATTAATAAAGTTAAAAGTTTTCGAAAAATTTTAAGTATTTACGTAATTGTTTGAAATTAAAGTATAATTTATATTGTGTTTATTACATAAAAAATTGTGGGAATGGAAAATAAATCTCGCACAAAACAATGGCCACAATATTTAGCAGCCATAACTGGTAAATTGTACAGATTTCATATATATTCATTAATTATATATATGTAAATCAAATATTATATTATTTAAATATTACATTTTAGCAACATTGTCTATGGCGATTACAGGAGCACATATTGGATGGACTTCTCCAACGCTTCCGAATCTCAAGAAATTAGATTCTCATTTACCAATTACATCTAATGATGCGTCTTGGATAGCTTCTTTTTATTTACTTGGTTCAATTCCTGGTAATATTCTTGCTGCTTTCATCGTTGACTGGATTGGTCGAAAAGCCAGTCTGTTAATTGCTAGTATACCATTAATTATCGGTTGGCTTTTAATAATCGTCGCATGGAGTCCATACGTTCTTTACGTATCACGTTTTATTAGTGGTTTAGGTCAAGGTATTATCTATGTCGTATGTCCTATGTATATAGGTGAAATAGCTGATAAGAACATTCGTGGATCATTAGGATCCTTTATTAAACTTATGGTCACATTTGGCGAACTTTATGCTCATATTATAGGACCTTTTGTGTCTTATCAATGGCTTGCCTATAGTTGCATACTCATACCTATCCTTTTTTTCATTACCTTTATATGGATGCCAGAATCTCCTTATTATTTGATAATTCGTAATCGTCGTAAAGATGCTGAAAGAAGTTTAATGAGATTAAAATGCCATGTATCTAAAGAGGATTTGGAAGAAGATATGGATCAGATGCAGAAGACAGTTATACGAGATCTGAGTGACAAAGGCCACATTTGGGATCTTTTCAATACCGTGGGTAACAGACGTGCTGTACTTATCTGTTTTGGATTACAATTAATACTTCAATTCAGTGGTATAGCGGCTATTGAATCCTATACACAAGAGATTCTTGAAGAAAGTGAGTCTGAAATTTCGGCTGGAATAGCAGTTATCATTCTTAGTGTAATGCAATTAGCAGCTGGTTTAGGTGCCGCAGCTTTGGTTGACAGGATTGGCAGAAAGCCCTTACTATTAAGTACTACATTTTTAGCTGGTGTAGCTCTCAGTGTTAGTGCAACTTTTTATTTTTTAAAGCTTTCATTAAACTATAATATGAAAGGCTACGGTGCTGTTCTTATCACATCAGTTATCGGTTATGAGCTGATTATTGCTTTAGGATTGAGTCCTTTACCGTATATGATGTTGGGAGAGTTATTTCCAACAAATGTCAAAGGATTTGCTGTATCTTTAGCCAATCTGTGGGCATCACTTCTCGCCTTTTTCGTGTCAAAAATGCATCAGGTTATAACTGATACATGTGGAATTTATACGTCCTTCACTTGGTTTGCATCAGCTAGTTTTATTGGTATAACATTTATTATATTTATTGTGCCAGAAACGAAAGGAAAATCTCTATTGGAAATACAAGAGGAGCTGAACTGTCGTACTAAAAGACCAAAACGTAATGGTATTCCAGAAATACAGATTAGTACAATTTCATAATTTTACGTTTTTCTGAATATAAACAAAATAAGTATACAAAAAGAAGTGTGATGTTGATATTATTAACAATCGAGTTATTTCTATAGTGTATTTTGTAACTTTAGTAAGTATTATAATTATTTCTATTGTCTTTAACTTATATAATGGTTTAAGAACTTTAAATACATATTATTTTTTATATTAAATAAATTGTTATCCTTATTAAAATAATTTCGTAATATGATATAAAATATTTAAGATTAAATGACTAATGATAAAAATAAATCAATTATTTAATTTGAAATTATTAACGTTTATGCCAAAGTGTATAAATATAACTATGTATTAAGCGATTAATTAATTTTAAATATTATTTATATTTAAAACTGTGGATATTATATTTTATAATTTTACATTCTATTAGACTGCGTATTTAACTCAATATAATAAATAGATACAAATATAAAATTTTATATCATTAACAAATTTTTTTACATGAAAAAATAATTTTATTTTTGAATCCATAAAAATTTATTATTTTTCTGATACGTGCATTACTTTAAATGTATTTTATCTGACAACAACAAAAGTTGTAAATGTTAAATTCAAACAAAAATAGAATTTACCATGACAAAAATAGATTATAAAAATGAACAAAGACAATATATATCGCAAATTAAAAATTAAGAATTCTTATTCGGTAGATCAAAGTCGACGATATATAATTAATTTTTATTGCAAAATACTCTTTAGTTGAGAAATTTAATCTCAAAATTATTGATATTTGTTAATCTACCCAATAGTTAGCTGATCATTAGTATTTCTTCAGTTTTTCCGATTTTTTATTTTCACAATCTAATTATTGGGAAATATGTAAATGTTATGAAACATTTGATGCGTTTATATAATTTTTTAATTAAGTAAATTCATTGTGTAACATTATTTGAGCCTTACAGAAAAAATAGTTAAAATTTATCTGATAAATTTTCAATTTTTTCTATAATTATAAAATAAAAAATTTTAATATTACGAAATTTATAATATAATTTAACTGAATTTTTTTTCGTAATAATGAACTGTTTCCAAGTGAAATTATGTTTGTTATTAGTCTATTAATATTTTCCATTAGAACTTAAGATATAATTTATTTACTGAATACATAATCTAAATCCATAATTTAATATTTTCAATAGTTATGTTACTGTAGGAAGAAAATAATAAAAATTTTATAGAATTCAAAAAATTGAAACCTTCATACTTCATTATTCTTTAGAATTGATAGAATTTGACATTTAGATTGGTAATTGTTGTTATATTTAAATTTAAAATATTAAGCATAGTATATTATTTCTTGTTAATGACTGAGGAAAAATTCCTTAAATATCTATTGCTAGTAACAACCTACGTTTGATAAATAACATTTTAAATATAATATGAATTTAAATCGATATCATTAACTTAATGACTATAATATTTTTATATATTTATAAATAAATTTCCTACTTAATATAAAAATTATCTTAAGCTATATGATATTTTTACAAAATTTTCATATTTCACTTAATGTTTTCCATTTGTAAAGAGATTAATTAAAAATTTTAAATATTTAAAATCATTATTTATACAGTTTAATCGATAGATTATATATATATATATATATATATATATATATATATATATATATATTTATGAAAAATATAAGAGAAAATATAATGTGCTCAGATTAATAAATATTTGTATAAATTTACTTTTGAATAAATATCTTTTATTTCAATGAATTGTATGGTTGCGTTAATAAAAAATTCTAAAAAGAGAAATTAGTAAATAAGTTTAATTATATAAATAAGTTTATTATTGAATTCATTAATATTTAAAAAGTCACATTAATTTCATCAATATTTTATAAATTTTTATACAGCTAACTATTTCAAAGTAATTTTTAAAGAATTCATCGGAAAATTTATTTAACATGTCATTTTATTCATAGTAATTATTAATTTATATTTATTCTTTATAATATATCTAGCAATTTATAAAAAAATTTTAAATGGGATCCAAAATAAATATAATTACGTAAAGCTAAATTTATGAATACATTTGAATATATTTAATAATATAAATTAAAAAGGCATGAATTTTACATGAAAATGTATACTTTTAAAATTTGTGGTCTTATAATATACCTAATTAAAGAATCAGAAGATAAATTTTTCAAGTTAACAACTGTTTCACAACATTTTCTTAAAGATTAAATTTTTCATATTTATTTTATAAAATATGGCCAATATTAATATTTTTGGAAGTCATAATAGGTATCATAAATAATCTGCGTATTTGAGGGAAAATATTCTTTTTACATATTATTACATAATTTTTATACATAATTTTTATAATTGAATAATATATTATAGAAATATTATATATATTTTATAGATATGATAGATATAATATATATATATATATATATATATATATATATATATATATATATATATATAAATGTATATACATGTATGTTTATATGCATGTATATATGAAAACACACATTGAGGTTATATATTATTAAGGAAATAATTAAATTACGTAATAAAGCATTCATTAGTGTAGTATTCGCGATTTTAATATAAGTAGCGTACAATATTTCTCGTACTAAGTGAATGACTCATTATTGAAAATTATTTGTGCCACTAATTAAAATTGCTTCTTGTACAGTATATATTTAATCTGCATAAGTTAATAATTCACAAAATGCACAAGACAAAATTGATATAATGAGTCATTTAAAATTACATATTTATAGGAACTCTTTTAATTGAAATGTTTAGAAACAAAAATTAATTAAAATGACAATTAAAAAAATACATTCAATTATTTATTTGTTCTTGTTATAACTTAATACTATACAATATTGTGCTTTACAATAGTGTTTAATATTAATTATTATGTAAAAGGTAAGACAAATTAATTTATGTAAATAATTTTTAATATATTATTCTTATTTTAACATTTATTTAACTATTTATAGCCTAAACTAAAAAATAGATTTATATACATTTTAATTTATTTTTAAGAATTTGAAATTTTGTAAAATAAATATATAATACTGTTATCTTATGTAGAAACCATATTTCTATGATGAATTATAACCGTAAAGTATATATTTAATCTTGGGATTTCAATAAATTAACGAAATTATTTTAATAAAAGTTATTTATAAAATTAATCTTTTCATTTTTTAATCCTTTTCATTATCTAACAAACTTTAGCAATATGCTCGTTTACATCTATATGCGTATATTAATGATAACATTATTTATGTAGATTTAGTTCTTTGTTGTGTACTTTTTATATTTTTTACTCTAAGACTGAATATAATTTATAATTTATTGGTTTATGTCTAATACTGTGCTAAGATAAGATGAAGTGAACTTCGTCTGATTTAATCGCATATTATGCATACTGTTTATTAAAGTCTCTGGAATATTTTTAAATTTCGTTTTTTTTTAAGTTGTAAATTATAGTTCATAATATATTTGATTAGTATTTTGATTCTATTATAAATTATTGCTTTCGTTTATTATAAGAATGTATATTAATAAGTAGGTAAATTGAATAAAGTAAATAAAAATTGGGAACGCTCTTATAACTCGATAAATTATATTTTAGAAATGAAAGACATGCAAAAAACAAATAATAATAATAAGCATAAATTTTTAAACAAAATATTGGTCGCTGATCAGATAGAGTTTCATAGATCCGTTATTTATACTCTAAAATTTTATTTTCAAAATTTAAATTAACTTTCGAAACTGTAATTGAATGATTAAATGTACAATAGTTGTATATTCTATTATTGGAAGACACAGACTTGTTGGTGTTCGCAATACTATATTGCAATAAACGATAAAGCCTTTTAGATTAAATGAGTTTAAAAAAAATATAAACATAAATTCTTAGAGGAGCAAAAATATGAGTTTTTAAAATCATGATTTACTTTAAATAATTCAGATATGCACAAATTAAGTAGAAAGAGATAGAAAGATAACAAAAATTATGAGTTATATAAGAGATAAGCATGTAAATTAAAATCTATATTATCCAATATTATCAATTAAACGGGTAAGAATGTAAATAATTTTAGAAATACTACTAACTGTAACTGTATTTTCATTTCACGTTTTGCAATTTATTATAATATTTATATGTTAATGATAATAATTTAACAATTTAAAGAGCATAAAAATTAAAATATATGTATTGCTTAGAACAAAAAATCTAACGTTAATGTTTTGAAAGTTTTGAAACGTTATTAAGGTAAATGACTTTATTTTTGTAACAATATTTCCAAATTTTTAATTTTTAATTTGATATTTACTTATAATTAATGAATATAATGTGTATGTAAAGCCATTTATAAATTAATAAGAGTAATATTTATTGTAAATTATTTAATGTAGTATTTTCTTTTTAGTGATTTTTTTTTGAATTTTTTATTAAACGCTATACTTAATATTACATTCTTTTTGTTATCATATTTGAGATTCTCTTTTAAAGGTGTATAATATCAATGTAAAACAATACTCATTTACTTAGATACACGTTTACTAATAATATTTTTATTTTGCCAATATTATTCAGATTTCAGTAACTTGATATGATTAATCATGAATATATAAAGAGTTATGGTATTTAGAGACATTTATAATATATTTTAGAAAAGGCTTAAGAAAATTTAATGTAAAATATAAATTATTCTTATACTTGCATGTGTTATAATTGTTTGAAGACTCCTAATTAATTTAAGAATTCTTATGGTAATTGTTAAAGGTTATTATTTTACAATACAAATACTATTATTCTTATTCTTTTTATTATATTCTAACGTTAAAATAAATATATGTATAAAATTTACATAATGAATTTAAATATCCGTATAAAATGTATGATAATGTTAAATTACGTTGTAAGAGTTTTCTCAATATATGTATCATCTTTAAGTCTGTTCAAATTTTGATTCGAAGTAAAGTTGTACTTTCATTAAATAAAAGATTAATGCGCGCTCATGCTTTTTATATTTGTATTTGCTATCATTCATAATAATTTTAGATTTGACAGTTTTCATTGTATGTCATATATTTATAATAATCATTTTCGAAAATTCTGTACAACTATCGACATCATTCACTTATTCTTTTTGAGTTCATATGCTTAAAATATTCTTAAGTATTGCGTTTATATATATACGAACGTTTTAGTTAAATCTCACAAATACTCAAAAAAACAACTTTTTCTTATATTTTATTTTTATTTAATCGTAAATTAATTTGTGGAAGTCAAGAGGATATGTAATATCAGGGAGGAATTGAAGTACACATCGTAGACAGGAGTGTGTAGCAAAAGGTAAAATTCAGCTTGAAAAGAGAATTCAAACTGAAACTGAGAAAAATAAGAATTTCTTCAATAAAGAGAGTAACAGATTATCTCTTCAATGTATAGGTAAATAAAGACTTTAAACGTTACGTGGTATGCATAGCCAAGTAAATAAATAATATATAATAAATGAAAATGTAGTAATTAGTAATAATTATTACTATTAATATATATTAATAGTAAATAAAAATGCATGATAGTATATATTCATAGAAAATCAAATTAAATAATAATGGATTTTATTTTATAGAAAAAAATTAAGTATACATATTTTACAATTTTCACTCTTTGTAAAATAAATTATATAAATGTATATTAGCAAAAGTTATGCATTCATAGAAATTTTTTAACTATTATTAATAATCGAAGTGTGAATATAAAATATATTAAAGCTATTTTCATTATTTAATATTTAAACAATCATCATTAAACATTAAATTATTAAGTTGAAAACATTTTATATGTTAAAACATTAATACAGGTTTATTATATGTAATACACTTAATATTATTAATTATTTACGTACACAGCAAATTGGATTCAGGACATCATATCTAATCTAATTATTTAACAATTATTTTATTTTACCTAATAAAATGCTTAATTTATGGAATCGTATAATATAATCAATTATTATAATTATAGTTGATGAATATTATACTGATATAATGATATTAAATTGATACTATTTACCGATGAATTTCTTTTATGGAATTTGAAATTCGAATGCATCTATGACTGTAAAAAAAGAACAATTAATTGAATATTATTATTTTAATCAGTAAGTATTTATATAATATGTTATTGAAAATATGGAGAATAATTTCATAAAATTTGATAAAAATCTCTTGATAATATTCAAAGTACGGCTATAGAAATAATACAAGAAAAATGTTTATTTTTAAAGGTATACGTAATCGTGAAAGTTTCTACTGTCGACTTAACATAATGATATTATTGGTTTAATTCACAACTCATTAAGTTGTATATGGATTTAAGAAGTTTAATATTAAAAACTCATCACGGTTACAACGTGTATTATATTATTCAATATTTAAAATTGAAATATAAAACACATAATTCAATTTCTAATATTAGCAACTTTTTAAGTAGATACTTCAATGTAAATTAAAATAATTGACGTAATCATATTTTTATAAGTAGAAACTTTTATGAAATTAAATACGCACAAAAAAGATTTTTAGTTAAAAATGTAATTTATGCCAAAGCAAAAAAAATATACTTATTTTTATGAATTAAATTTTTTTAAATATATTAAAATTGAATAAAAAATTTAAATATATTAAAATTTGAAAGAATTTCTGCTTTTATAAATTTAATATAATTTTGTTGTTGATGCTTCATATTGTAATGGGATTATGTTGTCATATTGACCCGATACCCGAAAATTATGGACTATAGTGAATGCTGCGCGCATATAAGAGGACACTAAAAGGATAATGGGAAAAACAGATATAAAAAGTGTTTCGAGAATTTGCTAATTATATTTTATTAAAATAATTCTATTCTAACTTCCTGAGTTTTTATCTTCAGTTAAATATCTCTTTTTGTCTGACTAATATTTTAAGTATAATATATTTTATCGACTTTAGATCTACAAAATAAAATAAATGATTTATTAGAATATTCTAGCATTGTTAAACAATCCTTTACATTATTTGCAAAACTAATTTATTAAATAATCGTAGCAAAAAGTTTGAAGCAACCATCCAACTAATTTTGACAATGATAGCGTGAATTTAGTAAATGCACACACACACATATTTATATATATATATATATATATATATTATTGATTTTAAAATCGTTTAATATTTAAAATCATGATATTCTGTGGAACATAATTATTTTTTATGATGACTTAGGCTTATGGCTGATTTCGAATTGTTAGATCTTATCAAAGCATATTCATTGGTCTCTTCAACTTGTATCTGCGTGACGTCACCTCGTGTATGCGCAAGAAATCTAGTGCGCATCTCAATAACCCCGATCACAATGTTAAATAAATCTTTTCTCTTGCACTTTTTCTTGGATCGTGGTTTTCTGCGTTGTGGAGTTTCGGATTTCGTTGCGGGAGGGGGAAACAGTCGTAATTCATCTATTACAGCGACAGAAGTATGCTTTAGTGTGTGCTAAAGTTGTCACGTTGGATTGTAGATGTGCTTTTATATAACGTTCGAGGGAGATACGCCTTTCTATAAATTCGCAAGAGCTTCAACATTTTGGTGACTTTTATTTACAGGTTTCAAAAGTTTTTCAGTCAATAAGTTCTTTGAGAACTAAGGAATTAAAATGTGCGGAGGATTTACCTGTTCAAAAAATGCTTTGACAGCATTAAATATTCTTTATATTGTAGGTGGTGGTCGTCTCTATAGTCTCTCTCTCTCTCTCTCTCTCTCTCTCTCTTTCTTTCTTTAATTCTAATTTTGGTGACTTTTATTTACAGGTTTCAAAAGTTTTTCAGTCAATAAGTTCTTTGAGAACTAAGGAATTAAAATGTGCGGAGGATTTACCTGTTCAAAAAATGCTTTGACAGCATTAAATATTCTTTATATTGTAGGTGGTGGTCGTCTCTTCTCTCTCTCTCTCTCTCTCTCTCTCTCTCTCTCTTTCAGCATACATATATATAAATGCATATACGCATGTTTTTACAGAATAACTAAAATTCTTCTATAAATGTTCATATTTATATATTTATATATGTACACACATCTTTTGCATTTATTATCTTGATGATATTCCTAATAATAACAATAATCACATCACTGTTTATACTTATAATCGTTTCTCATATCTTAATTTGCGTAGGTGGTTGCGTTCATCTTAATTGGAGTTGCTGTGTACGGTAGAGCCTCTGCCTTAGTTACAAATCTACCAATTATTGGAGGGATTTTGGCATGTGGAGTCATATTAATATTAATATCCATACTCGGATTAATTGGAGCTATTAAGCATCATCAAGTCTTACTATTCTTTGTATCCTTTTTTTTAATAAACCTCATAAATGTTTATGCTTATGGAACATTAATCATGTGAGTTATGAGATTGATAGTTATTAAATTGAAAGCTATTCATTTTGTGTAGCATTACTATAAATTAATGTATTTAATACTGTTCCTTAATGTTGTCAATAGTATATGCTTATTTTGTTCCTCTTGTTTCTCATCCAATTTAGTATTGCTTGTGCTTGTTTAGCTGTAAATGCTAAACAGCAGGAACAACTTGCAGATCAAGTAAGTAGTATTTTAATTTATTTATATATTGAAAAAAGAAATATGTTAATACGAAGATATTTGATCGTAGGGTTGGCAACAAGTAGACAATCAGCTGAAAGAAAAAGTGGAATATACATTTCATTGCTGCGGTTTTAATAAAACTACAAGTATTATAGAGGAATTCTCGAGTGGAAATGATTCAGTATGTTTAAAACAAACTGTAAGTTATTTTAACATTATATGAAGTAGAAAGTGTAAATATTATGTTGTCCATAAAAATTATTTATCATTCTTAAACACATTTCAGAAAGTTTGCTGCGCTTACAATCCAGATCCAAAATGCCAGTGTCCATCGTGTATGCAAAAGTTACAGTCTACTATTGACTATGCTTTTAAACTTTGCGGTGGTATAGGATTATTTTTTAGCTTCACCGAGGTAATTTATTGCACTTCATCATCATGAAAAATTTTTAATTGGTATTTAAAATTCACAGCATTTAATATTACTAATCAAGAACTAATACTAAACATTGTTAAAAATTCATAATATTATTGTCTGAAGGTCACAAAAACAGATGCTATATATTAATAATTATAAAACATTATTACTTAGTATTAATTACTAACTATATTAATTACAGTTTGTTGGTGTTTGGTTGACCGTCCGCTACAGGAACCAGAAAGATCCGCGAGCTAATCCTAGTGCTTTTCTCTAGTCTAACACCATCGCCATCTTCCCTGTCTCCCTGCACGACCTCCCAATTAGATGGTGCGTGGTTTCATAATTTGGTTGTGGCCATATAATATATTCTTATAATTTTTAACAAATAAATAACAACGAGGCTTAAGTTTTATTCATATAATATGATCAATCATTTCATCCATGATTTATAAATTCAATGTACAGATATAATGTAGGTTTCATTATATGATTCATTTGAGTTTCTTTTAATAATGAGATGGCCTTTAAGAAAATTCAACAATAAATATTATGTTTTGCTCATACAGAATCCAAAGTTAAAAAAAAATCATTATTAAATTAAAGCTTCGTCCATTATTTAAATAAAGCCAATATATAAAATTATATTACTTTTTCATTAGTAATAATAAAGTTTTCTATTTATGACATTTATTTTTAATATTATTGCACACTATCCTAAAATTTTTAAATGTATAATATATAGAATATTATATTCTGTATATTTCGTGCGTTTTTGTGTTGCGTGCGTGTGCGTGTGTGTTTGTATAAATTCATATGTATGCTTACTTGAGCAAAAATTAAATATTATAGTTAATAAATAGTAAAATGCGTGTATTAATATTTGTAATTGTATTTAAAATTTTCTTACAATTTCTGCTTTAACACGTTCAAATTACGAATGACACAACAATTTTATATAATATCACTGCCGCTGCATAATATACTACTAAAATTTTATATAATAAATTAGTCTGAATAGTTTTATAGTCATACATTAAACATAATTAATAATTCAAATTAAAAATTAAATAAAGTGAAAATAATTGTTTATATTAAATGTATGTAGGTAATTAAAAACATTTATTTATTTGTGTTAGTTTTTACTTAATTATATAAGCATTTGTACTCAAGTTTGCAAAAATATTTTAAATATTCTGTATTAGATGTATTTTCAAAATATTTTAAAATATAATATCTGTATACTTTGAAGTATACTTTGAAAGGCTTACATATTTCTAATAAACCTTTTAAATATAAAAATATACATATTTATTTTATTTTACAGGTGATTGCGGCATTCTTGGCAAGACGATATCGAAATCAGTTAGACCCAGAAGAATCAGCTGCTCGAGCTATGTTTCCGCGACATAATTATCTATATTAAAAAATGATCTCCTGGCAATCTCTATGATATTTGGTCTTGTGCTTCAATTTAAAATACTCATTAAGACCTCATCCGTATATATGAGATTGATTCGTTTTTTATTTTTTGATTGTAAATTTATTTAATGCAAAATAATTTGTTCTGCATTTCCAATAAGCCAAAGAAAAATCTTTCAATTGGATACAGATCCATTATATGCAAGAAACTTGTTTTTACATTAACTTAAATACTATATTTTATAATTTCTCAGTAAAATTTGAATTGAAATGATTTGTATCCAATTTTTATTTTGAACGAATAGTTCCGTGAGCGATTACAAGTTGTATCTTCATCAATTTATTTAGTATGAATTGGATGAAATGTACTAGCAAGAATGTGTGCTCTAGTCAGCCACTGAATATATTCTTATCAAGCCTCAATGCGCCTTGTAGTAAATTATTAAAGTTACTTTTATTAGAGAATATTTTACAAACTTACAACTCGAAAAGATTCCAGTATAAAATGCATTTCAGACCATTCCATTATTAATAGTATTTAGTTTATTAAAAATTTTTTTTGTCTAATTTTTATATTGTTAGTAATTCAAATGTTTATATATTTTTGGAGAGATTTATTTCAATTACAATTAAAGTAGTAAAAATATTAGCCGAATATCATTGAGCTACAAACTTCTTAAATTGTATAACTACATTGTGCGACAAACATTTTATGTTACTTTTATTTTTAAAATAAGCAATCTTTGCTATTATTTTTATATAATGTAATTTTGCAAGTGTTATATTACTCGATCTGCTTTATTACTATGTAATACTTAGTTTAAGTTCACAAGAAATTCTTCATAGCTTATTTTTAGCTAATAATTTTAATTTCTAAGAATACATGTTAATTTTATTGTGCTTTTGCGATTTAAAATGAAATTCTTTATTAAATTTGGAGTATTCATGCATATGGTTGCTAGATTTAAGTTCTATGAATGACATTTGTATGTTGAGTAAAAGTATAAATTTAAATTAAATCTAAACCATAAAATATAAAACTAAAAAAAGAAAATATATATGTTTTTATTTCTTAAATATGAAACACATTTGAATTCCTCTAATAAATTTATATTTTAGGTTATTAAATTATAAAATAAATAATCATGCATTGTGTTATAAATAAGAAAAAAACTGTAATTTATTTAGTTTTCAAATATTGATTCGATATATGATAGCTACTGTATTATTAATCAAATTTAAAATATCCACTACTACTTGTATCGTAATGGTAATACATAATCGTAAGTATATAAATATATATCCAGTAAAGGAACTGTCTCGGTCATCGATTACCATAAGGGCTTTTAAGGTTTTCTTATTTCAATATCAATATGAATGATTTTCTGTTTCAGCAGTAATGTATGTATACTTAAATTTCAATAGTCTGAAGTTTTGATGTTTTAGTATTACAAAATCGTTACATAATTCTCAGAAAGGATTATAATTATTAACTAGATATATCGTAATATTGTGATCTTTTCGAGCTCTAATTTTCTACAATTGATAATTCTTTATTACGCTTAATTTAAATCCAACATCTCTTATTGGGAATATTATTATTATATTGTTAAAAATAATATTTAATATTGTAAATTCGAAAGACATAAGAATCTCTATAATCTCCTTTAAACATAGCTTTTTTGCCCTATTCTATTAGAGTAGTTAGCATGCTGGGTATGTAACATGAAAGTAATTACATCTAGAAAATTGAATTTTTATTCTAACTCTTCATTTGTAATGTAGAATTATATATCTATCTTACAATTGGGTCTAAAATTACGACAGTCTTTAAGGATTTAAGGATACAAATCACATTCCTTTTAACATTCGCAACAACTCACAATGCGTCAACATATATTTAATAGATACATTGATGTAATAGAGTATATTTTTATAAATAAGAAATCAATTAAAGAACCTTGCTCCTTTATAGGAGCAGATTATTCACGGATTTCAGTAGTAACCAATAATTCTATCATTATCATTTAATTGTTTTATTTAATTCATTTTCTATACATCAATTATATGCTAATTTTTACGGCAGCAGATTAATTATTATCTGTTTATTATTAATTTGTACATTGGAAAAGGATTTAACTGGACTAAAAGAAGGTAAATCACGGCATATGTAGTGATTAATTTGTCAAGAATTTCATTAGGAATTTTTGTAAAACTGAATTATTTTGCTTATGTTAAAGTCATATTATTTATTATATTCTGTAATGTAATAAATAATATCTAAAAATCATTGTAAAATATTATTGGATAATTATGTAAAAGTATTATTTATTTTGAATAAGCCCAAATTATATTTGAATGTATATAATAATTTATATTTACATATAAAAATTTTATTAAATATAAATTAATTATTATTGTTTTGAATTAGAAAAACTATTAGTGATTATTGTGCATTTTGACATGTAATTTATTATATTTTAAAGATTAGTATTAATTTTCCAACGGTGTTCATAATAGATTGAAATTCTCTATAATCCATGATAAAGTTTTCTCGATATAACTTTTATTTCAAAATATATCGTATAAGACAAATATGTTAAAAAAAATAGATATGCAATTTTATTTAATAATATATACAAATTATATTATCATTTTAATTTTAATTTTCATGTATTTAATTATATTTAGAAATTATTGTAAAATATATAATGTTGCTTACCAATTTAAAAAACCATCAAATTTTAATTTGAGAAAATATAGAGATATGACTAGTTTAGAGTATTATATAATAAGATTAGTGTAGGACATTATAAATATATTAAAGTAAATATTTAAATTATTAATATTGATGTATTAAACCTGAGATTTTTAATATGTAATGTATTTACTGATGATTAATTTAATATTTAGTAGATATTTTTTATAGTTTCATAGTCAATATCAATAAATGTTTATACAGTATTTTTAATTTGATATTATAAATTATTATAATTACCAATTAATATATGCAAAAAATGTTTAGCGATTCCTAATGATATAAATACAATTAACTATTACACGTAGGTGGAGTAGGTGAAGTCTGGAATAACTAAATAGAATAAAAATAACATTATTTATGATAACAATAGTCAACATAAAAAATTAGAGAAAAAATTAGAGATTTTACAAAAATAATCAAGTGTTATTATCCATATATATATCTGCATGTCTGCTTGTATTCTCTCTCTCTTTCTCTCTCTCTCTCACCACTGTATGATAATTACAATCTATTTTATATCTGGTTTTCATTATTTTACGGATTGAAATGAAAATTTTTTTTGAATAACTACTACTACTACTCTCTTTCATTCATTATATTTGTACTCACAAGTTCTGAAATTTAATTATGCGTATTGAATTTGATTAATTAATTTTTCACATTATTTCTAGTTTTGACTTATAAATAACAATAGAATTTTAAATTAAAATCTTTTTAGAATATTTTTATGTTTATGAGCATTATAACAAAATGTTATAATGTTATAATCACATGCATTAATAGAGTGCATACAAAAGATTCGTTATTTTGTGAATTAATGTGAATTTTTTATTTCGATAAGAGCATTATTTATTCTTATATATTTTGACATACGTTTATTCTAAAGAGATAACTAATTTATATATCGAAATTAATATTATTTTATGATATTTACATTTAAAATTATTTATTTTATAATGATACATTTGATTATTTTTATTCTAGGGTTCAAAGTAAAAAAGTATTGTAATTATATAACACATTTTGGATCTACCTATAATAAGACATTTAGTAAAACGTAATACTTTATATTTTATTATTTTAAACCATAGTGATTTGTATTTTTCTTCATGTACAATATTTTTTATGATTTCGTATTATAAACAGCAATATTTATAATCATTTTGAGTTATATTTATTTTTAATTATGTATATTATAATATATTTATATTTAATTTGAGTTATATATATATATATATTTAATTTAAGTATGTATACGTTTGAACACTACAAGTATTTTGTTTATTCGATCGATACAGTGGGTAATTTGTGTCTTAAAAAAATATTCGCAATATAAAAATCTTCTGAAAATCAATTATAACGTCATTATCATACATGTGTCATAGATTTATAGATTTATATAATATGTAGAATAAGTTTAAGTTCAATTGATTGAGTTTTGATCTGGGAAATGAAGAAAGAATGTGCGAATTATTTTTTATTTTAACTTTCATGTAATATTTTACATTACGAATTAATATACAAATTAACTATAGTAAACACTTTTCTTGAATTATTACTATATAATAAAATTGAAACTATAAATAGTGATTTTATGAAATTTTCTAATTATTTATTTACAAATGTATAGTGTATTTTCTTATTATTTTTACAAATCAATATAGTAATCGTGTTAACGTATATCGACATACTTAAATATTTTTCTGTACGGTACAGCAAATGAATAAATATAAATAAATCATTAGAAATTAATGATAAGTAACTTTATTCAATGTAATGAATAGAATTCAATCTAATGAAAAGAAAATTAATGAAAGCAGTTATTTCCACTTTCACAATATAGTAAAGTAATATTATTACCTTTATTATAAATAACATATTTCGTTTTCTTTAATATACATTACTCATAAAAAACTTAAAAAACTCATTGAAAATTTGCTAACGAAAATGGCCTGCTGATACAAAATCTTTATAAAAATGTTTTTTGTTTTAAATAATATTGCATATACTTCTGTATCATCTGAGATTTTCCTTTACACTACGTTTTATGTGCTATGGACCAATTTTAACACACACGTATGTGCAGAATTTTTCGTAAATGTAGGTTCCATAATTTTTTGCTCTTCACATATATATACATACATATATATATATATATATATATATATATATATATATATATATAATATTTTCTAAACAGATTATTATAGGGAATTTAGGAATGCGAGAAATGGAGCATGCGAATGAGATTAAAAGAGTTGGTCCAGCATCCATAGATTTGCACTCCCTGATCGATGAAGGGGCGCACACGAGATGCGCACGGGGACGCGTGCGCCTCCCCTTTCAACCACTAATTCTCCAACCCCGCGTAAAATTTTCCGTAAGCTTGCAGTTGTCGTGTAACCATCTTTTGGTATTGACGGGGATCATTCGTTGTCGGCACTATTTTATATTCGCTTCTTTCCTTTCCTGTTTTACTTTTTTATTTCTTCGATTCTCCTACCTCCTTCATCCTTATTCTTACTTGTAATTTAATCGAGTCTCTGACTCTTCTTCTCTCATATTCTTTCAATCTCTATTTTTGACCGAATACTTAAAATATTCATTTATATAATTGTATTAAATAGAATTGAGTTAATGTGTAAGCATCCGAATAATCGGCGAAATTTTACTTCAACTGTCATTAAAAAATGTGAAATACCGTTTCATATAACAACGTTTGCTATATTATTACTATTACTTTTATTATATTATTAATTAATATCATTTTTTTCATTTGATTATTATTATTTTTCATCTTCTTATTATTATTGCTATTATTAATAAAACACATAGAATTGAAAAATAATTCGCCTGGTTATTATGTAATGTATTAGTAAAATAATGGAAGATGTGTTAATTTTTTGTTCATTACATAATAAATGAAGTTTGTATATATTTTTAATTTTCTAATATTATTTTCCCATTTCTATAATAAACAAGTGATACTATTAACTTTATATATGAAAATTCATACGTATTTAATAAATATAATTATAAAGTTCTTAAAATAGTAAACATAGAATACATAAGTAATCGCAATTTAGTATGTTGAATAGTTTTGTAATTTTTGAAAAATTTAAGATATATTTCATAACTTTATATGATAATTGAATAAATAATACTTTCTTGTTAAAATAAATTTCTCTTAAAAAAATCATATGTTTTTACTGAAAAAAACACGGCTTTTTTTTCAAAACATAATACTTTCGTCTTGAATAAACAATACTTTATTTTTTGAAACAATCAAACATTTTTAAGCATCGTACTATATTTTTAGGTGAAGATAAATTTGTGTTAATGATGCTATTTTGAACCGCTGTTAATAAGATGTGTGATCCACAATTACCTATTCCTGTACAGATGTATTTATGGTGTCAGCTGCGGTTAGTTTAAAAATATATTACTATTTAATAGATGAACTTTGACAGTTTATTTTCCTGTTTTATTTAACTGTTTTCTTGAAAAATTATAGATTATATATATATATATATATATATAAAGATATTGATTAAGTTTTATTAAATTTAGAGCATGCATGGTATTTCGTTATATTTAAATATTATTTTTCGATCTATATTACTATTACTTCACAATAATGTTTGTTATTTATTATAATAAAGTCCTTGCTCTGATGTAAAATTTGTTTATATCGTGTATACCTAACTTATCATTTCAGACCATTCATAAGGGCTAAGCTGGGTAGAGTACACGAAGCATCGTGTGTGGTACGACTATTGAAAATTTTTACTTTTAATAAATTTTATACATAATTGTTTGTTTTGAAATATTTATTAAAATAAATTTTATGTTCTATTCACTCAATGAGCAGTTTTGTCAACATGCTCCCGGACATCATGTAAGTTGATAATTTTTTTAAGTTTAACATTAATAAATCTTATTAATATTTTAATATGGATAAGATTATATTTATTTTTAAACGTATGTTACATGCTGTCATGTAGGAGATGAAAGAAGCTTGTACGGTAAATATGAATATTTAACAAATTTTATATTTTATGTTTCAAATGTACTTTATAATTATTTTGTAATACTTTGCAATACATTTTTCATTGCAGATGTTAAAAAATATTTTAAATTCAAAATAAAATTATTATACATTTTTTATATTAAATAATATCATGATTACTATATCAATTATATTTATGGACAAACTTTCGTAAATACTTAAGACAACTTTACAGTTTAAATAATAGATGGATAATTTAGATAGTATACTTTTGCTTGTTCAATTAACATTTTTCAATCCAATTAATTAACCTACATATCATAAATCTTATTTAATTAGAAAAATTTTTTGTGTATTTCATTTGTCTGTTTTCTTTTGAGAGGTAATTATTAAATTTGTAATCAGTAAGGATATATACCTTTCATAAAAATTTAATATAAATAATACCCTCTCATTTTATTTATGTGCTAAAATTTAATGAATTATAAGTTGTTTGAATATCTCGTGCATATAAACACATCACTAGTTTTAATTAAGTTTCTAATATTATATTGATTTTATGCTTCCAAATGTAATTGTAAATGTAATTATTTTTAAATAAGATATAAATCTCTCTAGATTTTGAAGAAATTTCGAAATAATATTAGAAGCATGTACATTTATAATTCTAATAATGATTAGAAGATGTATAAATGTTGTACTAATAATTTATGTACTTATCAATATTCATATATAATGTAAATTAAGTTTTTTTTTAATACTCATTAGTTTCTTAAATTTTACTATATTAACAATTAATTGTTCATTAAATTATTCGTCACTTATGATTTTTTTACTTTTATTTTTTAATTAATCATAACAAAAGCTTATCGGCAATTATTAATTCTTATTTATGCATATTCAATTACTTGGGGAAATTACAAAATCATTTATGAATAATGTTCATATTAAAGTTAAATTGCGTGTAGATTATATAAGGATTTGCAATATAAAATTTTATAATTAGTTTCGATACAAATCTAATTTTTACATAAAAATATTTTTGGTATATAAAATATTAGTTTTCCAACATTGATAAATATATTGAATATTAAATATTTTAAAAAGATTATAATGTTGTTAATTTATTTGAAATTACACGTGGGTATTATTTTCATTTTATATCAAAAGTTCTGGAATACGCAACATCATACTTATTAGAATAGCTTTCTTTGTACATAATATAGATTTATAAAGAATTGTATTATAAAATTAAAAAATTTAATTTTATATTTAAAGCCTCAATATTCGTCTTTTTTCTGCAACATATTATAAGCTTACATTTTTAACTTTTTTCAACAGTCTCTGGAAAGAGTACTTGTTCAGAATATTCACAATGAACTGATACCTTCTTTAAGAAATATTCTGAGCACAGTGCCACGCTGGCGTTTGATACAAGCTTCCCTTCCTTTTATTATGCACGCTGCATCGAATCTTTTAAACAATAAGTGAGTATTAAGTTTAAGGAGCAGTTATAATATATTTAATAAAAATTTTCATCTTGATTTTAAATTTCATATTGAAATAATTTAATCTATTATTACTGCTTTTTAAAATCTATGTATTAAAGTTTCGACTAATATAACTTTAATTACATTCATTTTATACAAATTGTATTATATGTATTTATATAAATATAATATATTTTTTATAATAAGTTCCGATAAGAATATAATTATATTTCAAAATTTTACATAATACGACTATACATCATACAGTTATGTGACTTCAGTTAAATTATTTGTTATATTATAACTTTAATACATATTTCTAAGGATTGCCTCTAAATAATTATATTCATATTTATAATACAATTGATCTCATTCTTATTGTATACTACCACTCTTTATGTTTTCCAATTATATGCCATACCATTAAATTAAATGTACCGACAGATCATAAAACATTACTACAAACATTTTATTACAATTTGACAATAATTTTATGAAACTTATTTGTATTAGGATAACAAGATATATTTATAATATAATATATTCAAATATAATTGTTATTTTATAGAAAAGATTTTCAGAATTTGGGGCCTTTAGAAACAACTCTTTTATACATACTTCATTGGATTATACTTGACGCTGCCGAAGAATGTATTGACGATGAAGGAGAATTGAACAACCCTTTTTATTACCTTTTTTCAATACCAACAATAACAGTTAATATATTTCTAGTTAATAATCAATGAAATTACTATATAAATTGTAAATAAAAACATGTATTTTAACGTATTTGTTTTAGTTGTTCGTTCATCTATTTGCACCGTTATGTAATTATTTAAAGGATATCGATTTTAAAGGTAATCTTCGATTGGAGAATGGTCAGAAGATTTGGTATCCAATATATGAATGTCGACATCCTGAAGCTACGTGTTTTACGGCTCATTGTAAGCCAAAACCACGAGCTTTATGGAAAACGACAACAAGAACAGTGCGACCGACACATGTCTCTGATGATATTTTTGTGGGTAGTAAGTAAAAGAAAAATTAAAATTGTACTTACTATATGCAATTATATTTAAATATAGATCAATTTATATTAATATAAAAATAAAAAGATAAACAGTACTTATTTAATAATTTATTAATTATTTAATATTTATTAATAATTAGTATATCTATTAGTATATATATATATATATATATAAATATATATAATTTATCACTTTATTTTTTAACTCCTATACTTAATAATATAATTATAAATGCATTTCCAAAATGATCAAAGATCAGTGCGTATAATAATATAACTATTTCATTTTAGATAACAAAAGTCCACAAAGTCAGAATATAAATGTGGGATTTTCTGATCAATCTGTATCAGCCAGTAGATCACTCGATGACGACGTAAGCTTTTTTGTACAATTATTGTATTATATAAGATATAATTAAATTCTTTTATTTATAGAATTCTTGGGTATCATCGCCAAAGGACAAAATTTTTCCCGAAACCATACCAGAGGAAAGTTCCAGTACAGAAGATGAACATGTGGTATGCTTTTTAAAACGATTCTACTCAATTATTAATAAAGAACCTTTTAATCATATGCGAAGTAATGTTGATATTTAAATAAAAATAATTTTTGGAAATTTTACTAATAAAATTATAATTAATTAAAGAATGTTTGATTGAACGAATTATGAACATTAAAATAGAAATTAAAAATTAAAAAATTAAATTACAAGAAATTTGTAGAATAATTTAATTTTAATTGATTATTTATAATCATTAATCATTTTTCTTCGCAGTATTTATTAAATATAAATTTTTAATTATAAATGTAATTTTAATTTAGGTTATATTTACTCTTCCTTCTCTCGATGAGTCTGACAGAATATTGGATGGTGTTAAAGAAGTTTCTACAATATTTGCAGTAGGTTTTTAAAATAATACTTTCCAACTGTGATATGATAATAGAAATTATATGTACCTTTTTAGGGCGAAGCAAGTATCTTTCATGTTGCAATGGGTAGAACAAGTAGCTCTTCAAAACCAACGTTAACTATAGAACAAGTAACTGCAATTTCCGAATTAGATACATGCAGACAATATGAAGGAAAGCCAATTAATTTAAAAACGGGGTAATCTTTACAGACTTTTCATACAATAAAATATGTTTTTTAATTTAACACTACCTTAATTTAAACTTATTTTTGTTTGTTATACTTATGAATTATAGAAAATCTACCGTAATAATAAATTGTTCTTCAAATTATTAATTCGAAATATGAAGCTACAATATTCTTTAAATAATTGTGCGAGAAAATGTTAAATTATTGTTTAATTGAGTTATTTCCATTAAATTCATTTAAAAATTTTATGAATAATATTTTGAAGAATAATAAAATATAGTCTATTATTTTTCATTAAAAATAAGATTAAAGAAGATTTAATACTAATTGTTTTCTTCCACAAACGGAATAGCCAATCAGCTAAAAAATATTAAACGTAAATATGATTTTATATTAAAATAATTTATATTCAAATGATAATTGTTAACTAGTGATACATCAAAAGATCAAGACAAAAATTCTAAAAAATATGAAAAAGAAGTTAAATCAAATGATACGAAGTTTACAAAAGAAGTAGAAAGTAATTCACCTGACGAAGGATTTAATTTCGTATCGGCAATCGATAAGGATGTACAAGCTGCCACATTTCTGGATGTTGCTGTTATAAGATGCCTATTTATTCGTCAATGGCAAGAAGAGGGAATTTTTTGGGCTTTACAATTTTTATATAATCGGTAAGTCAATTAAAATGTTATTTATAAATAAATTATTAGTTAATTACAATTATAATATGTTCATATTTTGGTATGACAATAATGTAGGTAAATAATGATAGCTTTTTGAGAAGTTAAGCTTAATCTTTATGAGTAGTTTAGGCGTAGTGTTAATTAAAATCTTAATTAAATCAATGACAATTGGATATAAAAATTAAATTTAAATAAATATTCTATCTAATAAATCTAATAAATTAAACCTAATTAAATCTAATAAAAATACTAATTCTGTATTTAATTAATAAAACAATACCTTATTCGTTCATTAAACTTTCAAATAAATTACAAATATCTTTCTTTATGTGATTTATTTAATGAACGTCTAAAAAAATCTGTATTTAATTAATTTTATTAATATAAATTTTCAAACGATTAATAAATAGAATTGAATAATAATACATTTCATGTACAAATACAAATATATAAATATAAAGATAGTAAATTATATAAACATAATTAAATTACACTACAAGGATAATTAAATAATTATTTATGATACAAAAAAAAATTAAGATTTATGAAAAATTTTTCAATTTTTCTCATAATATTATTTTTAAAAAGTTTCTTGAGACATTATTTTTTGTAATAAATTTACGACTATGAAATTGATTTAATTAATTATTCATTAGTTTAAGAAGAATAAATGAAAATTCTTCTATACAACAAATGCCTCGACGGCGTAGCAATTCATTACCAATTCCAAAAATTGAAGTTTCTCTTTATCAAAGTCCAGAAAGCAAAAGAAGAAACGACAGAGATGCTACAGATTCTGAAGATCCTAAAGGTCCAATTTTATCTACTGGTAAATGAATTATGCATTAATATAATTATGCACATTACTCATCACAATCACAATTTCATATATAAAATGTGTTAATGTTTATCTCGTTACAGATTTTACATCTGGCGATGTTATATCGAAAATGCATACGGAAATTAGCCATACAAGAACAGCTAGTGAAAAAAGTAAAAAGCGAATGAAAATGGCTGATCTTAAAGCTTTTGTTGAAACTAAGTTACTTTCGAAATCTGAAAAAGCTTTGGAAAAAATTGGTCATGAAGATTCAAAAACAATTTTCGAACAAGTATATACTTAATTATTAATATAATAAAACACTCAACAAATATCTAATATTTATAAAGTTAATATACAAATACATATTTATAGGTTATATAATTATAATTAATATATTATAACAATAATATAAACAAGTGAAAATGATAATAGCGATAAAAATGGTATATTTTTTTTAATTTTCGTTTAACATTATTGTATATGAATAATGAAAATATCTAAACAGTTTAAACATTTCTAATAAAAAAATCATTGTACCGACATAAATTTTAAGACGTTAAACATTATAATAATAATGTTGGCTACGGATATAGACATACAAATTTCATAAAAATTTTTATCATTACTTCGACAGGAATATCATCGAAGCTTAGATACTGGCGAAGGCAGCTTGACAAGACAACCTTCTATTTCTTCAAAAAGTTTTGATGCAAGGGACCCTGATTACATAGAACATCCTACAAATTTAATAAAAGGAAAAAGTATGCCAAGCTTAAGGTATGTAACTAAGATAATTTTCATTAAATTATTAATAATTTCATATTAATTTACGCTACATTTACAAATGTACACGTAGATTTATATATAATTATAATCTTATAATCAACAGTACAGATAAATTTTTTTATTGCAATAATATTTTTATTATATCGAAAATGAGAATTATTTCATACGAGTGTAAAGCATTTGTCAGTATTCGGTGGTATAATCTATTGTCATTTTATTCTTTCATTTGCTTTATTTTTCGAATATTGTATGGAATATTGAAAATTGTACTTCAAATCCTTAAAAAGTATTTAATTTTAATTATGATTAACATATATATATATTTATATTGAATTTATTAACTATATTTTTAATCATTAGCTGTAAAAATATAAATATAAAATTTAACTTTTTTTATTTTAACTCTTTAGTATTTGTAATAGTATAAATTTAGTTTAACTGAATTTTGCTTTATAAAAAATTATCATTTTTGTTTTATATATTATTTATATTTTCTTAAAATATCGTAATCATAAAATATTTGACATCGGTATTTATGAATAATTTAAGATTATATTAATCTTAACAAATATTTATTCAAATTATATCGTATATATTTGAAGAGCAATAAAATTTATGATTAATCGATAAAATAACTAATAAAGAATAGAAATCAAGTTTTGGAATTTCAGTATATAACGTAGCATCTAAAATATTATAATTTTGAATTACTAGATGGCACTGGAAAATATCATGATATTTTAATTTCCTAGTAATTGCATAATATAAATTTGTAGTTGCTATCCTAGATATACATTACTAATTATTTAATATTTAAATTTACTATTGTCTATTTAAATTTAATATTTTTGTAATTTATAATAGAATTAAGTATATTTTATAATATAAAATTGTTCAAATGAAACAAAGTTTCAAAATTTTTATTAAACCATGACTGGAAATTTATTTAATATAATTTTTTAGTTAAATTATTCAGCTATTAACATTTATTTTTATTTTTTATTTTTCAATGTGGTTACATGTTTGTACGATCGGATAGTATATTGTAGCTGCAACGTAGTTTCAGAAAAAATATTGATTGTGGATCTATTTAATTACTAATCTTGATTCTATGAATAATTAATGTTTAAATTAGATAATCAATTATATAGCTTAGAAGCAATACTTTTTTTAAAAATATTTCTTCATAAATAATTTTATTCTCTTATATTTGTATAGCATTTATGTGAAACAGAACACGCACATTACACAGAACCAATGTAAGCTTCGGGCATTAATCAACATTACATTGAGAGATACTTTTCAAATAACTTTACTAAATTTTTGATATCAGAATTAAATACTATTCATTTCGTCTGATATAATACCCATATAAAATTTTTTATAAAATACCTCTTATTAGATAGAATTGGACAGTCGGCAGTTTACTAAAATTCATAAACTGCTTTCATTTTAAAATGAGATACAATCTATAAATTAATGTTAAAAAAATTTCACCCACCTTCATCTACATTTATGTTTTAATTGTTTAATTAATTATAATCATTGCTTATCGCTACGAATAAGTAACAACTTTGAATAATTAACAATTTAGATAAGTTATATTAATGATTTATTCGTATATAATGTTTTTTCATTGGGTTCCGTTTTTATTACTCTCATTCGTCCTTTCATCCCCACCTCGTTGCTCAGCTGCTTCATTAACGAGTTGACCGCGGGAGGGTAAGTTAAGAACGTGCTTATCATTATCAAGAGGTTTATTTGTTTCTGAAAGCTCACGTACTTTACTTTTTGTGTATCTTTTTTTTCGCTGATGCAGACTTTTATAATGGGCACAACGACTAGTAATGTATAGTGATATAGTACCATAGTGCATTATTTAGATGATGTAACTGAATATGAATATATCTTATTCATATGCAATTTGATATAACTGTGTATATTAATATGGAATAGAAGTAAATTATATTATTTAAATAATAACCATTATATATTGTGTCTATATTTACCAATATTCAGAAAAGCTTTGTATTCAAAATTATTTTAGTATTGCACACCCATTCGGCCGCATACAAATGCACGAATATTAAACATTATTAGTTATTATTAAAAATATTAATCTGATGGTTCATTTTTCAAACAAATGCAATAAACTTATTAAATTTTCAAAACCTAGCTCTTTTTACAAAAACATATCAGATAAATCGAAATTACTACAAAATATATCATTAAAATTGATAATTGTAATTTATAAACTTCGATACTGAAAAAGGATATGAAACTAATATTAATCAAACACGAAATAATACGAAACAATTAATTATTTAAACAGTAAAACTGAACATTAAAGTAACAATGCGGGGCATTAAAAATCAAGAATTAATGCTTAAAATGAGTTGTAGTAACAGCAAGTTACTCGTTTATTTATCAAATTTCATTATCAGTAATAGGAATAGTATACTCATGATAAGATATATACATATATATATATATATATATATATATATATATATATATAGGTGTGAAAGAATAATCGTTTCTTGTTTATTTTGACTGTTCACGTCTATAATCATTTTGCTTATATAATATTAAAACATACTACACATATGTACCCACACACATACACACGTGCGTACGCTTGCAAGCACGTGCACAGAGTAGCAGTAGATTCACGCACAGACGCATACAAGTTATTGGTGATTAATATATTATTCGTCGATTTGAAAATTATTGAATTTTATCTTTTTGGTTAGAATTATTAAGTATAGAAATGTTTAATTAGTTTATCATAACCATCATAATTAAATACAATTCAATATAGATTTTGGATTTCTTTATTTTCACACAATTGTGAAATTTATGAATTAAATTTTTACATATTAATCATCATCTGCCTGTATTGATCTACTTATAATAATTCATAATGAAATTTTATATTTGAAAAGAATATTTACTTAATCGAATAAAAATATATAAAAATAATTTTTATTAATAATTTTGCAACATTCTAAAAGCTAATTTATATTCTGGTGTCTACGTTATATTCTATAGGCAAGCTTATACATCTGGAAAGCTAAAATAGTTTTCGTATTAACATTTAAATTAATACATTTCGATTAAAATTTTTAGCGTAACATGAAATTTTTACATTAAATTTGTATCTTTAGTTTGTTAAACGATATTTAGTATGCATTAATACCGAAGGTCTTCTAATGTGTCGCAAAGTATTTAGATCATTAAAAACAATTTCATGAATATAAGCTAATTTTTATAATTATTTCATAAGTTAGTGCAACTAAATATTGTACCTACATTCTTTAGATCAAAATTAATTTATAAATAAATTTTTACAGATTGATTATTAAATAGGTTGAGGTTTGTTATTGTCTAAAGTTAATAATTATTGTTAAATTAAAATGTATAAAAATTTATTATTTAATTTGTTTTTTCTATTATTGTAATGCGATAGGAATGAATTCAAATATGATTATACGTATTCATATATTTCTAATTATTATAGATCTAAAAATGAAATATTAACCTTAGATATAAAATAAATAAATAAACCATCACGACAATACATATTATATTGCCCTATTAACAGCTTTATTATATATCTATTCTATATGATAATTTTTTTTCTGAAATCTTGTTTTTAAATCATCATATATTTTTTATAATAAATGAAAAAGTTTATAGTTTAGGCTATTGAATTTTTTTCTTACATTTATATTAAAATTAATAAACCTAGTGCATGATATATTTGTTTAATAGAGCATGTACAAAGGGATATTAATTAAACTTTTAGAGTTGCTGATTCCTGAAAATTTTTGTGAATGAGCATGAAAGTGAAATTGTTTGAATATTATTTTTTTTTAAGTATTATTTTAATTGGTATCATTTCATGTTTTCATTGTTTAGTACTAAAATTTTTTAACAAAGAAATCATTTATAATAAAAAAAATTGGAGATCAAATACAATTTAAGCGTGATAGTAGTATTATTAACCTATTGTAATATTGTTATTTGCATATAATATAATAGTTAATAAAATTATTTTACATTTGTGAAAAATATTTTTAAAAGTAAAAATGCAGGATAGTATTTATAAATTATTGTTATTACATGTATTTACTTCTACACATAACAATTTCTTTCTACGAATATTAATTTTTAATAAATAATTAAACGTATTATTCTTTACGTAATACTTCTATTACTTTCATCAATTTGAAGATAAATTTTATATAATTTTTAATAAAATTTGAAGCTAAAATTCAAGTGTTTAACTCAATTTACGTACTTTGCTAATATAATCTATTATATTTTTAATTCAAATTTTATTATTTTATTATTGATGAACGTGTAATGTATATTACCGAACTGAAATAAAGTATATTTAAATAGTTAAAAGTTTAGTTAAATTATTATGTGTATCCATACTATTATATAACTTATTTACAGAATTATTTATTACGCATATTATTTAGAAAATGATACAAATACATATCATATAATGATAATTTGCCGAAAAAAATAGTCTCAATATCAAATCATATTTTGCAGTCATTATTGTTATTTATAGAAATGCAATAGTTACTGGAAATATAAGGCAGGCAGAGAAAAATAATTAATAAAAAGCTTAAGTTATTAATCATATAAATATATGAATAAATGATTTTCTGCAATATAAAAAACAACTTTAAATCTTATATTTTAAATATTACAATTTCTTAATATAAACGAAAATACTCTTATTAAAATATAATACAAAATAAAATAAAACTCTTATTTTTAAATCCGAATAAGCTTTATTTTTTTTGTAATAATTATCAAAACAATATTTTCGTGAAAAAGGATGTATTTTATATGCATTAAAATAATTGTATTTTTTCTCGAGAATTGTAGAAGAAAATTTTACTAATAGACGGAGATTGAAAATTGAAAAAAAAAACGAAATCTATTATAGCGTAAGAGAAAAAAAAAATTTAATATCACATTTTTATTGTTTGCTGTTTAATTAAAATTACTAACAGTACCGAAGCAGATTAGAAAATTAATAATGTTGGCGTTTTAACAATGTATGTGAGCATTACTTTATTAGTAATTTATTATATTATTATAAGGTAATTTTTAAAGGGTTTTTAAAGGAGTATAATTAGTACAAGCTTATGTCACTTTTTAGATTATAAGAAAATTGATTTTAAGTGGTTACACGCATGCATAAGAATACAGTAGAATACACACGTGCGACTTTTAAAATTCTTGTGTACATCGGAGGCGATAATCACGCGCATGGTACATGCTTTGTTTCATTGCTATGTTGTAGAAGGAAATCAACTTTAGTGTACGCAAGAATTCGTAAGGAGACAAGTTTCCTAGGTAACAACAAGCGACGCAGGAATATAAAGGATTTTATTGTATCTGTACAAACGCATTTTTTAAATTAATTGTTAGATATTAGACAATATTATATTAATTGATTAGTCAACAGGCATGTTCTAATTTATTTTTGCTTTATCCGGTCTATATAGTAACAAATACTAAATAAAGTCTCTTTTCTTTTTAGATATATTGGTGACACAAAAGTGGAGAGAAAACAAAGTCGTTTTTATAGCCAATCAAGCGCAGTACCGAACCCTATAATAACCGTTACAGAACACACTCCCACTCCTTCTCCTGATTATATGAAACGACTGGTTCGTTATTAAATTTAAATATACATTTAAATTGCATGTATCTTATTCAATGAAACTAGGTCTAAAAATAAATCCGTAAATAACGTATTATAAAATTTTTGCCGTTTTTTTGTTTAACATGTTCTCATGAATATCATTTTAGATTAGAAAGTATTTAATATGCATTAAATTAATGTTATTCTACATCAAGATTGATTATTTATAAGACATAAGATATCCTACACAAATGATAATACAAAATCGATCATAATATACAAATTGTATTATTTTTAATACTAATTTGGAAGTAATAAAGGCCATTATATCATTATATTTATAGATTTTAAATAGTCACATTTTATAATATATGTATAAATGTATATAAAAAAATGTTTAATATACTTATATTATTATATCAGGGGTCTATTGATAGTCAATTAGATGCTATGACGAGTCACGGACGACAATTGAAAAATGATAGAAAATCGAGTCTTACAAGATCGCAAACAGACTCCAATATTACATATTCAGGAGATGAAACACCTGAAGCACCTGGTTCAAGTTATTACATTACGAAAGATGGTGATATCAATTTGCATTCAGTTTTAGAGGTAAATAAGATAACTATAATTGCAATAAATTCAAATACGTTTAAATCTTAAAGAATTAATGTTTAATCAACTTAATAGGCAATACAGAATATATCATTGCGGAATAATCAGAGTTGCACACTTCGTATTTGTGAGTCCATTTTAAATTTAATTGAGCTTTTAATGGATATGGGTATTTTGAAGCAGTCTTTAAGAGACGATTCTTTAGAAAATAATCAAGGTTGGTTGTTGGTTTCATTAATCTAATTAAAATTAAATAAATTTCTGTATATCTTTTTATTCAAATCAATATTACAGATTCATTTGACAAATATGATTGTGGAAATAAAAAACAAGAATCACAAGATAGTGGTGTTCAAAAAGATGAAATTCAAATAACTGCCCACAATTTAATGATGAACTGTACTATTCGAATTTTGCATCATTTAGGTTGTCCTCATGGTTGCTTGGATGGAATACGCGGACCTCAAGCTGACTTTTGTCGATCTCAAATACAAACTATTCTCAATAAGTTGCATGCAGCTAGTTCAAAGCAATTTTCAAAATTTTTACGTAATATGGTAAAAGATAATTCAATAACTGATATAATTGAATTCTTTCATTCTTATGTTGGATTTTGCGTTGATCCAAGTTCATTATTATCACCGTTAAGTAAGTAAAAACAAAAGAATATTTCCTAATTGTTAATTTGTTCTCAAGTGTTATATATACTTATATATCATTATCATTTTTACTAATATAAAGGCGATATATTTTACGAATTCTTTATTAATATAAAGTGAACATCTTAGTTCTCTCTATTTTAGATCAAAAACGTGGTTCTAGTAAATCTCCAGATTATGTTTCTCAAGGTAGCTACGCAACCAACTTCGGAGCTGGTTTAATGAGTGGTATGCCAAATATAAGCAATCCAATTCCGGGAAGTAATAATATGCAAAATTCAATACCAACATCTGTATATGCGAATACTGGCTATAATAGTATTGGTGGGATTGGGCACAGATTTCGTAATATTGAATCACAAATTATGGGAAGTACGTTCAAGGCTCTGGTTACCCGCTGTGTTGGAATTTCAAAAGAATTGAAGTCTCAAGATAACATTTCCCTTTACTGCGATGTAAGACAATTTATGGCATACGTTAAAGAAGCTCATGGTGGTATTTTCCGAAGAGTGGCTTTAAGTTCCATATTGGATTCAGCAGATCGACCAAATAAACGATACAATAGTGAAGTTCATACAACGAGAGTCATCAGGTGAGATTTTCAAAAACCTTCTTCTATTCTTGTGGTTATTCAGTATTATCAATAATAAATAAAGTTTTACGTAAATTGGATGTTATAATATTATAACAGTAAAATAGTCTGGAAAAATTTAAATAGTCTTTTCAATTTTATAATAAATTTCTGAAGCAATTAATTCATTATACTTTATATAAAGGCATATGTATCCATTTAATGTGGACCAAAATACAGATGCAGGGACAGATGAATGTTATACAATCGATGATAGGGGTGCCAGAAAGTTTTTATTTAAAAAAAGAAGCACTTCATCAACATGCGCGGTAAATATAATTTTTTTTTGCTTTCTTATAAAATTAGGTAAATATGCATTACATATCATTTATTATATTTTTTAATGATTTTTTCACTAAAATTCGAACTATTTGAAAGTTTTAATAAATATTTATTTACAGTATTGTGCATTAAGCATTCATTATATTTCAACTTTAAATTAACCATTTTAAAATATATTATATTTAGAATTTTAAATTCACGATTATTTCTAGAGTTTAATCGAGGCAGACTTAAGCGATGAAAATGTTAAAGTGAGTCAAAGTCCTTTGGGAAACATTAGGAAAAAACATCATATTTTAACACCAAGACAAAGCGAAAGAAATTTAGATTTAAGTGAACCGTCCTTTTGTATTCGAAAATCACGAAAAGCAGCTCGTTTAAAGATTGATGGAATTGGTAAATGTGATTGATAATATTTTTAATAATTTTAGAATAATCTTGTGTGAGCTTTGGACTTAAGTTCTGAAAAATTTGTGTACCACTTAACAAAAGCTTTTAATTATAAAACTGTTGTTATTGTCAATCTGTGACTCTTATTCTTTTACTTATTTGGCACGAAGAATTGCTAAAATTATTCGTATGATTATTCAAGTTTTATATTAAAGAATATTTATTTCTTTTACTCGTTAACTTAATATTGCAAATAATTATTTGGCGTTTAATTATTGGGTCGTCTCATTGTTTTGACATTGACTACGTGCGATTTCTTTTACTAATGCGAGCTGTCTTTAGTTTTGATAACGTCTGCACTTCTTATTCACTTTTATTTTTCTTGTTAGTTTATTATTTAGCGAAATTGATCAAAATTTTATTACAAGTGATTACGATTATTACGATTGATTACGATTGTCATATATTGTCATATACGATTGTCACTCTACGTATGTTCTATAATACACGTTATGATTGACTTACTGCGTACGTTAGACAACTGACTCAAAATTGAATGATTTTTTGTCCAATATAAGATTAATTAACTATTTCGTTTAAAAATTATTTTTTTCGCTATATAGTTCATTTTTATATAACCAAGGTTTATAGAAAATTGATTTTCTGCTAAATATTATTTTCAATGAAATTCTATCAAACTTTATGTTTTTAATAAAAAAGTAGCTTTGTATATAAAAAAGCATATTTGTTAATCAATGGTGTGACATTGTAGAATTAATATTTGATATATATCCATTGATTCATATAAAAATTTTTATTTAATGGTATTTAAGAAATTAAATATTTACTTAACTATTTCAGTTAATTGGTTCCGTAAAGAATATGGAAGTACTAAATCAACTAATAGTCATGAAAGTAGTGAATCGCCTACAGAATGCAGTTTTGCACGGCAGCCAAGTTTACGTCGAAATCATCGTCGAGGAGTTTCTCGAGCACCCAGAGGGTAATTTATAATATTTCTTATTTAAATAGTAATACATATATAAGGAATATGAGATATATTACTTATTGTAAAGAAAACATTTTATGGCTCAAGTTGAAATCATTTCATTGTTATTAGTTTTTTATATTTTATTATTAATTTCGTTTAATTGTTAAATTGACAGAACTAAATTTTTTTAATATTATTTGTCGTATGTTTTTATTTTTATATAAATATAAAATTAAATATATTAACTTCTCTTCCTTAAAACTTCTCTTAAAAATAATATATAAAATACTATAAATGTTTTAATATTTCTTGATGTTTTTATTAAATGATACAATTTTTTTCTATTTAGTGTTAGCCAGACACTTCAAAAAGCCAAGCGTCGAATGGAAGCAAAATTAAATAAAATAGGCTTAGGCAAAGGAAAAAAAAAAGAAAGTTTCGAAGAAGTTCAAGGCAGTTGTGAGTAAAAAGATTTCAGTATATATGAGTGCCATAAACTATTAACATTATTATATTTTGTCAACAGATTTTAGCCGAAGAAATTCATTTGATACAGGAGAAACATCAAGAGAATCTGAGTTTGTTGTTCTAAAAGAGCGTAGATTGGTACCAAAAAAGGCTGTTTTCGAAGGTATTCAAAGGTTTTCTTTCTTGTTAGAAAGTTGTCAGCCAGGTTCTGTTCCTGATCATCATCTAATGGGGGCTATTTTAGATCTGGTAATCGAATAGTCTGGTTTTAAATTATTGAATTTTTTATTTTTGAATTGATTTGATTTCATATATATAGTTGTAATTATTATATATATTATGTATATATATATATATATATATATATATATATATTTATGATATAGCCCTACGCTCCAGCAGTTGCTCGTGCTGCAATTCTCTTGGAGTGTTCTCATTTAGTACATCAATGTAATAAAGGACACTGGTTACCTTGGATGAAATTGAATTTTCCAATTTTTCGTCCCTCAATGGCAATGAATAATCGAAGTGCACCAACAGGTCAAAGGCGTACTCATGTATTACAAAGAGCCGCTGGAAAATTATTTTATCAGTGGGCCGAGGTAAATACAGATCACTTTTTTAAAGTATTTATAATTAATATGTTTCATATAACTACTACTACTAACTAAAATAAGAATAATAATAATGATAATAATAAACAGTATGTATTAATATATATATGATTTGGCAGTCTTTTATTTATTAATAATACTAATAATTTGTTGATAATAATAATCAATTAAATTCTCTAAAGAGTCGTTATAAAAATACTTTGCCTATATTGATATTGTTTTAGTTTCTAGCATGATTAGGTATCAAAGCTCTTAAGTTATTAAAAGTGTATGATTATTATGTCCTGCTTGAATTACATATGTTTGTTTATAATGCTGATAAATAATTATTATAATTTATATTGAAATAGTTTTAATGTTAGCGATTATATATAATTATATTAATTTATTAAATATAATAATTTTCAATCATTTTCATTTATATTTTATAAACTTTAACAATAAATATAACATATATTTAAAGGCTATCGGATCTAGATTGGAGCAATTTTTAGCTGAAGATAAACAAAATTTTGAGAAAGTTAATCAAATTATGCTAGATGAAACTAAACACAGAGATTTAATTATTGAAGACGAGGAGGAAGATTTTCTGGATGAAGGTAATTTTTATCAAATAAGTGCATATTTTTGAGATAAATGTGTTTCATTAAGTAATTCATTAGGTAATAATAAAACTTATATAAAATTACTAGAATTTACTTCATTTATTAGAATTCTTCATTTATTTTATTTAGTGATATTTTAATAATGCTTAATAATGTTTTTTCTGTACAAAATATATAGTATTTTAAAGACGAATATCCAAGTATTGTACAATGATTTTTTCAGCGAGCATAAAAACTTATGGATCGCAGTGTCCAATCGCTTTGCGCTTAGTTGCCTGTATGTTGCTTTTGGAAATTACGGCCTTTCTTAGAGAAATGTATCAGACTCTCCCCAAATCAAATAGACTTTCAACTAAGGAACGACCACCCCCTTGGGAAAAATTATACAGTCGTGATGCAAATAGACGTTGGAGTATGGCCCTTTCATCTATGGGACATTCACAAACTTCTGCACAGAGCTTACAGTCAATTGTCGGCGATAGGGAAAATGGTGATAAATAGTCTTTAGAATTTTTCAATCCTTTAAATTGACTTTTTTTTTGTACTCAATAATAACAAATGTTTATATGTAATATGTAAATATATTTATATTTATATATTTATATGTAATATGTAAATTTATTTATATTTATATATTTATATGTAATATGTAAATATTCCCAGACCATAAATATACATTTACCATTTTTACAGAGCGTAAAATTAGCTTTGTTCTTCATGAGCCAGATAATGAATCGGAAGGTAGTAGTAAATCTAATGTTACAATTCAAGGTGAAGACATTCAGAATAATGAAAAAGAAAAAAATAAACGCTTTCAAGCGTCTTCATCAAGACCTTTTTTATTGCGACGGGGCACAGCAAGCAATACAGCTACTAGTTCTTTCAAACGAAGAAGTTTAAAGCTCCGAAGAGGTACGAAGGAAGGAAAGGAAATTGAATTGGAAGCATGTAAGTTTGATTAATTTTCTAATTAAAATGATTTTTAATCTTCTAATATATAAATTATTATTTTTTATAATATATATTATTAAAGCTTATCATCTAATACACTATTAATTTTTTCTCTGATTCTCATATTATCTTTCATATATAAATGCTTGAAAGTACATTACATTTACAGTTCGTCGTGCTGATTCTATTCAATCTAAACGGAAGGTTAGTTCATTGTCGGATAGAAGCGATACGTCTGAACCAGGACTCTATGGAGAAGTCAGTGGCGAAGAGTCTCCTGGAATTTTAAGTGATGATCAACCACCAGAAAGTCCTAGTGACAGTAATGATGCTGATGAAACTAATAAAAATTTTCCATGGATGAAAGTAGTGGTACAATTTGCAACTAATTTTAATTTTTATTGTTGTCATCAAAATTTTTGTCATCCTTATTGCCATCGAAGGCAAATGCGTGCAAGTGAGAGGCTAATCAAATCAGTTCGGAAAGTATATGGTGAAGAATTTGGTTTTATAAATGAAAATGGTTTTTTTTATTTAAACAGTGATAAAAAAGATAATGGTAAAAAAGATAAGCGAGGTAGAAAGATTTCAGATCAAATGAGTTCACAAGTATCACCTGTACGAAGAAAAGATAGCATCGGACGCAAATTCAAGTGAGATATTTTATGTTATTTCTCTATATTTAATGAATAAGAATACATGAAATTGTTAAAAGTAATTCTATGCTATGGTTTTAGAATAGAAAAAAATGTAGACGGTTTACAAACGAGTCATTTAATGGGTGGAAGTCGCGATTCATCAAAAGATGTATCCGATCATGATTACGATTATAATCAAGATTTCGCTAGAGCAATGGCACCACCAGAAGATTATAAAGATAAAGAAGAACTTCCTATGTTAAAATATATAAAAAGACAAGTAAAGGACGCTTTTCATGCACCTTTAGCTACTCTTTTAAAAGGAGCAATCGTAATGTCGGACGATCTTTTTATCGACATTCTCCCAGTTACTTGGGAACTTCTGTTAGAAATGAATCAAGAAGTTGCTGCGGCAGCTGCTTCGTTATTTATAGTTTCAGCAGTTCGTGCACCAACACAAGCAACTGATATTATGCACCGTGGATTGCGTCATTCACATACAGCTATCCGAATAAATTCTATCTTAAGATTTCAAGTTTTATGGAAATTCCGATATCAAGTATGGCCGAGAATGGAAGAATCGGCTCATTTAACATTCAAAGTACCACCACCAGGGATTGAATTTACATTACCGTCTCCAAAAATTGGCATAGAATCTTTACCTGTTGTAGATCCGCCATGGATGCCACAAGTAAAGACGAAAGTTGAAGAAGTGACTATTAATCAAGAACGACACGTAAGTTGCATTTGAAATGAAATTAAATATCTATGTCATTTTATTTGCACGCAAATTTCAGTGTCTAAAATTTAAAAAATAAAGAATTCCATTTGACTAAACCCATTGTTACTCAATAAGATGTAACTCCATTTACATAATATGTATTTTATTTAAAATTGAATAAAAAAAGTATAATTTAAAATTAAAAAAAGAATTTTTATATAACAGAGAGCTTTAGTAACAGCAACAAAAACTCGTAAAAAACAGCAAACTGAGCTAATAAAAAAAGCATTACAAGCACAAGATGATAAGAAACGAGAGGAAAGAGAAAATTTTTTAATTACAACCATACCGATTACACTACAAGCAGCTTATGAACCGAGTCCAGTGGGAGAAGATCACGACGAAGGCAATAAAATTAATATTTTTTTTAATTTGATCTATTCTTTTAAAATGAGAGAGAGAGAGAGAGAGAGAGAGAGAGAGAGAGAGAGAGAAAGTTGCCCAGCTGATTTTTAATAAGTATCAAATTATTATAAATATTATATTGCGTTTACAGGCAACATTGATGAAGATGGAGGTGATTTGGCTCCACGTAATTTAACCCACCATGGACAATCAGCATTATCTCTGTTCCCATCAGCATTATGCTCTGCCATCATTCAAATAATAATTCTTTTAGACGATGCTGCAGTTTCCGAAGATGGTAATGCAGTTTATGAAATGGCTTATCAGGTATCAGAACTATTTATTTAATAGATATCACGAAATAATTAATAATCCGATAATGCACATTATAGTTCATATCTACATAGTCAATTTTAGCAATATTACGAATGGTAGTTACTTAATTTGATAGTTCATTATAATACAGAAAATTTACTATATGTGACAAGTCAAATGAATATAAATAATTGCTTTTAATATTTATTTTTATAGAGGTCTATAAATAAATAAATCCTCATTATTTAAAATTTCATAGGGAAAGTTGTATGTAACTTATTTATTAATTAAGACAATGCACCTTAAGATGTATTATATTAATTTTATGAGATTAAACAATTAATTTCTAAGTGATAAAAAACCCTTTCAGGTTATTTGGAATTGTCTAGTTGAAGACAGTGCTTTATTTCTAAGATACATTTTGGAACGGTTAACAAGAGATCAACAGGATTTAATGTTTAAACTTTTACGGCATTTAATAAGATTTGTGCCAAAGCTTCCTCAACAAGCTGCATTCGCTCTTTATAATTATATTATAGGCTATATAATGTTTTATGTCCGCTCTCCTCACGAAGAAGGTCAAAAATTTATTGGTACCGCATTATCAATTCTTTGGATGGTATGATTACAATAATAATAAATTTAAAAAATTTAAACATATTTCTTTTATTTCTTGAACATTATGAATATTGTAGCATTTAAAACTAATTTTAATTAATAATAAAAAAATTTTTTATGAATTATCTTTTTTAAATCGTATAATTTAAAAATTATAGGTTGTGCATAGCGTCCACGGTATTATGTTCAAAGATTTAAAACAAATTTTAAGGAAAGAACAGTGTGATGCTTCTATTTTATTGACAGCTAATGTTCCTTCGGCTAAAAAAATTATTGTTCATGGCCCACAAGACCCCGATGCTGGTGGTATACCTTCTCAATTTCCTGTTCAAGAAGATACACAATTTGGCCAAATATTACGAGAGTCTCTTGATTTTTTTGGTATCGAAGAAACTAAACATAAGGAATATTTTCTTGTTGATTACAAAACACGTAAAATTCAATTATTGTTCATAATGTTACAATTTTTAAGATTTCTCTATATGGTTAATTAATAAACTATCGTTCATTATTGTAGATCAAATTCACAATCCATCATCATACGTACGAGATTATTATTTCTTTAAACGTTCTCAGTATCCACAATTAGAACTTGTTTTTATGAAATCAGAAGATGCTTTTAATGCCTTACAACGACAAGAGCTCACATACAAATTTGTTGAAATAGGCAAAGTTCTATTAACATGGGCGATTTTGAAAAATGTTGACATGGTTGTTCAGCGAGTGGTTTTTTTACACGAGGAACTAATGAAATTACCGTCATTTCCTCGTAAAGCATTGGAAGCAGATCTCGATTTATATAAAGGTGGTGAAATGGGCAGGGTAAGCGATTAGAAATTATTGATATTCATAATTTATATATATATATATATATATATATATATATATATTAAAATATAAGAATGCATATAAAAAATCAAATATATATTGATTTAAGAAGTGACTTAAGTATACAAATTTTGTTTATAGGAACTCCAATCTCTTGATGTTATGCATAAATTTATGTGGGTTCGACTTATCGCACGCATGTTTGAAGCGATGGCTGGAAATTTTGCATATTCCGGTGATATTCATCTTTTTTTAAATGTTCTTAATGGTGCTCTTATTTTACATAGCCAAGATTCATGTATATTACGTTATGTTATAGCAACATATATTAATGCTGCTCATAATTTCAAAAATATATTTTCCACAAACGGTTATCTTTTAATTATGCCGACTCTCTTGCAATTATATTCAACCCATCAAACTAATAAGCTTGTAACAACAACCGTTGAATATGCCGTAAAACAATTTTACCTTATGAATAGAAAACCATTTATTCTTCAAATGTTTGGAAGCGTATCAGCCATTTTGGACACTGATGAGACAAGCATAGTTGGAGAAGCACATAAGGTGATTTAACTAATAATATATCATAATTATATAATAGAATTTTAATTATTATTATATGTAATACTCATATTTAAGATTTTTATAGTTTATATTTTTAATATAAATTGAATTATATTTGTTTAATTCTTTTTTAGGAAATTTAATTTCCTAATATATAAAAAACTTAATAAAATAACGTAAGGTAGGTAACATATTGGCATAATACAATTACATTAAATGTAAATGTTTTATAATTTTAATAATAATAATAATAATAATAATAATAATAATAATAATAAAAATAATGATTATAATGATAATAACAATGATAATTATAATTATAATAATAATATGCAAAATGCTAATTATTTATAAGTATTTTTGTAGAATATTTGTAGATACTATGTATAAATGATGCATTTTAAAGGTCCCATCTTCCTGTCTTTTCAATCTTCTTCTAAGTCTCGAAACTCCTTCGCCCGATCCACTTAATATCGAAGAATTAGTGAAAGAAGAGAAGCCGCTAAAAGCTATAGATTTTTGTTACCACGATGAAAATGAAATGGTTACTATATTGGATTGCATTTCACTTTGTGTAATGGTTATTTCATATGCCGCTGATTCTGTACGAGGTCAGCAAATGTTGGTAGGTACTTATATTTATATTAAGTAACAGTATATTTATATTAAGTACTTTATTGAGTAGCCGAAGCATTATTGATAATTATATAAATTTTATCCAAATGTAAATTTTATAGACAATTTTGGAAGCTATTATGCCGTGTTATGTGCAGCAAATACAGCATCCTTCATACAACAAAGAAGGAAAAACTGAAAAGGAAATTATTAATCAATTAGCAATTGCCATTAGAACTCTTGTTAATAATTCTGAGGCTTTGACGAAGTGCGTAAATTCATTAAAATTTTTATACGATAAATTGTTTAAATATAGTATATATAAATTAAAATTTCTTAGGTATTATAATCGTCCACAAAAATCAAGCCCAGAACATAAAGGTTCTAGTCAGAGAAATTATGGAAAAAGCTCTTATTCACCTGGTTTCGAATTTGACGAAGAAGCGCAGATAAATAAATATATGGAACATAGTAAAAGTAAAAATCACGAACGCGATAATGACGATGTTGAAACTAATCATAAAAATGAATTTATACGTCCGAGAGATACATTGCTGAACATGATTGGTGAATTTGTTGCTAAATGGTCTATTCGAGTTATAGAATTAAATAAAAAAACAGAAGATGGAAAATTTATTGATATTTTAGATTCAAGATGCCATATAGTAAGTAATAATTTCTCAACCAAATTTAATGAAAAAATTTGTTTTTTCCTTTTCTAAATTTCTAAATTTTTATATATTAGCGTTTAGCCGACATTGCCCATAGTCTATTAAAAATATCTCCTTACGATCCGGGTGCAATGGCATGTCGAGGATTAAAACGGTATATGAATGATATTTTACCATCAACGGAGTGGACCAATGATGATATGCGACCAGCACTTATTATAATTATTCGAAGACTTGATAAAACTTTTAGTAAAATTTATAAAAAAGCTTCCATTAGAAGAAATACGAATTGGACTGCAGCAAGTGACCTTTTAAAAGGCGTTTACGAAACTCTTTTGAAATGCCCATATATCGCTCATTTTCAATATTTAAAAACATTAATAAGCACTTGCCAAGCTCTTATAATTGGCGATACTGCGCAAATCGAAGTTACGTCTTCGGCATCGGCTGCTCTTATGAGCAAAATCCCACCTCAACATTTCTGTTCAACAGTACTGCGATTAATTGCCCTTCAGGTGATTTCACTGGGCGATGGTTATAGTTTAGAAAGTATATGCAGTGGACATTCTATGTTTGGCACTGCGGCACGAGCAGAAAATGTATTGTTAAATTTTCTCATTCCACTTTTTCTTAGAGTGGGAACAGGTAGAAAAGGTATATGTCGCAATTTGTAAAATATTTACTAAATATTTCTTAAATATTTTGTTGTTCATATATTTTTTTGATATTTGACTAAAACTTTAATGATATTTGACATTAAACACAATATGAATATCCGGGGAATTAACTTTATTATTAAAACATATTATCGTTCAACATATGATTCAACATTAATATACCGAATTTTTATAGTATTATAAACAATCATAGTAAATAAATATTTATAGTATTATAAACTCAATTTAATACAATTGATATCGATTTATAGATGTGCCTAAATTGAGAAACACAGATATCTCTTTTGCATTGACTACGGTACTAAATACTTTATGGCCACCGGGAGCAAAAATGATGCAACTCGCAGCACCAAATTTAAAAGCTGCTACTGATATTCGCACTGGAAGTCTAACTTTTGCAGTAAGGGATTCTAAAACATTAACAAAAATATCACTGACGTTATACCAAGTTGCCTTTTTAGGTAAATAAAAAGAAAAATACAATTAAAACTTGGAGAATAATATGGGATATTATATAATAAATTCACTTCTCATCTTTTTTACGCAGCCTTAAAAATAATAATCATATGCTTTGAATCTGAACTTACGTACGAATGGCCGAGAATCTTAAGAACCATGAAATTATTAAACAAACGTAACGAAGCTTCATTACACCTGTGGAATTTCCTCGAATTTGTTGTCACGCATCGCACACCATTATACATACAAATGATGCCATTCATTTTTCAAAAAATTGGCCAAGCTCCTATATCCGATCACGAGAGAAATATGCAGAGTATCATTAGAGATAAAATAAATGGGCGTAATATGAGTGTACCTAAATCAAGAGGAGCACTCCTTACAGATCTTTTTGATGAACTAAGAAAATTGAAAGAAGAAATAGAAGATCGTAAATTTGGTAATTTTATTCAATAAATAAAATATTACTTTCGATAAAGCTAAAAAGAGTTCATGAAACCAATCGATTTATTAGTTTATTAAAGTAAAATAGAAATATTAAAAAGCAAAAAATAAAGAAGTTCGCCTCGCTTATAACTTAGTTTAACTACTTTTATATAATTGATTCGATAATCTTACATTAATACATATTATTAATTCCATTTTGTTTGAAAAACATTTATAATTTTCAGATAAATTCATTATTATAATATTCATTAATACATCTTTAACAAACCAATTATTACTTTAAACGCTTAATTTCAGATGAACTGCAGCCAGAATCTAAACGCAGTGTCGCTGATATGCATCAGATAAACGAAGGTCAGTCACGTACTCAGCGTCCTTCGTTGCTGATTGACTTATTGACAGGTGACCTTGGCTCACGTGTACATTCGAACCGGACCCCCGTGGAAACCTCATGCTCAAACTCTACCACTAGTGGTGGGCAGACAGTCTCTTCTCATCAATCAGGAAGCTCGAGCAATACTACCAAACTGTCATTGCAGAGCCAACTATCGGCCGGTTCTAACGAAGCCAATATTAGAGGTAATTAAATGAGAAGGCGATATAATAAAAGCACCAAAAGCATTACTTTTGTACTGGAAGTTGTATTATATATTAATATATATTATATATTATATATTATATAATATTATATACTATTCGCAAACGCGATATTGTAAACGAATTATTAAGAAAGATTATTAAATATTACAAAGCCTATTTATCAATATCTTATAGAATAAAATGAAATTGGATATATAATTATTTATGTTATTTTGAAATTGCTTAATTAAAACAACAACAAAAACAATCAAATTGTAGTTAAATTTTAATGTAACGAGTAGTAAAAGCTGCTAAAATATTCAATTATCACACGAATCGTAATTTTTATTAATTTAGTTATTATTAATTTTCTAAGTTATTATAAATTATTATTAATTATTTAGTTTAATTTAGTTATTATTCAATTGTGAATCAATTCGCTTTAATAAAAATATTGAACATTTAAGATTTTACATAACTTCCAGCTTAGCTGTCTTAATTTATATTGTTCAATAAATTGCTTTAGTAATACTTTACATCATAGACAGCAGCGTTATAGGCCGCATTACAAATATTTATAAAACTTATAAATTCTTAATTAATTTGCTTCTTTAAATCATAGTGATCTTCATGCACATCCAATATTATAGTTCAAGCATATACTTTTCTTTAATAATCTGATTTTTTCGACATAATTATTAATAAATTTTTTCTTTTTTAAATAAATACCATATATATATATATATATATATATATATATATATATATATTAGACGACTTCTTTAAGATATTTGACATTTTTTTAAAAATTATCAACACTTACAAGTAGAATAGTTTGATTGTGTATAATTGTGTTTTTAATTGTCGTATGTAATAATGTACATAATAATGATCATAATGAATTTTCGACATATGATTAGTTTTATATTAATTGCAAAGGTTATACTATAAACTATATCATTTAATATATTTCTATAGTATATTTTATTACATTCAGTGGATATAACAAAATTTTAGTAATAATGAGATCATTTTTGTTATATTATTTTAATTATTCTTTGATTCAAATTATATATATATATATATATATATATATATATATATACTGTACTCTAATAAATATATGTATATAATCTAATAAAATATAATGTACTCTACTAAAAGTATAACTGTAAAATAAATGAAATTGTAGAAAATAATTATATTTTATATATATATTGTATATATAATTATAGGAATTAATTTTCATTGCTACTATTTAACATTCTACGAAGACGTAATAATAATTATAATTTCCAATTACGAGTTTTACAATATGTATAATATTAAGAAATCATCCTTCTTTTTTTTTTACATAAAATAAGGTTATATTTAGAAATTATAAATTGAAGAAGATATTCAAATATGTAATTATCTTTATCTTTCACTTAGAATCTATTTCTGTCAAATATTCTTTTACGATACCTATATTAAATAGCATATATTATATTAAAAAGTAACAAAGTATTAGAAATTAGTCTGCCTATTTTGTCAAAAGTTTCTACAAAAATTGTAATTTTGAAATATTTATTTAAATTTAAAATAAAATGATACTTTAATATTAATATTATATAAGGTTTAGTAAATAATAAATAACAATCAATACTTGATCGAACATAGCAAAATGTATGTACAAAAATAATTTCTTTCAATATAAAAAGTTAAATATAATTTTATATTTGTCTGGGATCAGACTAAAAACCTCCCTATGATGGTAAGTGGAGGCTTGCTGGCAAGTGGAAGGGGCAATGCAATTATTCAATACTGCCTTTAATGTTAATAGTCTTTCCTTTTATTAAATATAATAAGTAATGAGTAGTTAATAATCTATGAATATAGGAATGAATATGTGATAGAATGAATATATTGGTGTTTCTTCAGTAGTAGTGGTGACGATGAGTCTGTGCGTCTGTTCTTGATAGCCTGGAGCGTGATTCCCCTTCTTCTTCGGTTTAGTGGACGTAGTGAGGAACTCGTGGTGGTAGGGGAAGTAAGTTAGTGCCGTCTTGGCAGCCGGTGAAGGGGTGAACTGTAGTGTACGAAGTGGTGGGAGAACGTCCGTGTGACGTCACAGCTTGTGCCTGTGAGCTCCACGGTAGTGGTGGTGTTGGCGCACGTTCTTGTACTCAATGCGAGCATAAATCGCGGTGCACAGGTAAAGGTAAGAAATAGCGTCGACGTTACTTACATGCGGGCGTAAATCTCTGTGTAAGGTACTATGCAAGAACGAACGTCGGCGTTGCTTGCACGTGGTGGCGGGAACTGCGTGAGTTGGTGGCAGGAACCGCGTGATGAGGTAATATGCAAGAATGAGCGTCGGCGTTGCTTGCACGTGGCGGCGGGAACTGCGTGAAGTGGTAGCAGTAACCGCGTGGCGAGGTAATATGCAAGAACGAGAGCCGGCGTTACTTGCACGTGGTGGCGGAAACTGTGTGATGAGCAGAGTGGCCATCCTGTCTTGCTGGGTGCTTGTAACTAGAACAAGTAGTAAGGAACGAGCGTCTGCGCTGCACGCGCTCATACCTCTCCCACTTTGTATTCCGCTTAAAACTGTTGTAATCCGTAACAATATTATTTATCAATGTATTAGCATTATGAATCATTATTAAATATTTATCATACTTACATATACAATATATATAATTTTTATTGTATATTTTTATCATTCTTTTTGCGATTGTTTATTGTTTTTATTTGAAACTTCTCTCATCTTTCTTTACAGTTAAAATAGTTAATTGTACAAGAAATATTAATGACAATATTGATATTATCGTACAATCGAAATATGATTTATTTTTCTAAAGCTATGAAAATTTATTGAGGTGACTTTTATGTATCCATAAATTTTGTTTTTATTTTCTATATAATCTAAAATAATTTCTTTCCATATTTATTGTTCATTCGATTTCGTTATACGTATTATATTGTTCTACGAAACGTTTTTCAAAAGCTATTATAATCCATTATTTAATTATGTATCTGAATCTCTAAATATAAATTTTAATTTAATACAAATGTAAATTATTTATGGCATTTATTGAAATTAAATGCATAAATCTTTAAAGATAGAATTTAAAACAGTTTAAAATGGTTGTATCTTGTAATGTATTGATCTAAATTCTAAAGAACTCATACCACAATATATTTTTGTTTGTAAGTTTGGAGAACATTTTGTAAATATTTGCTTGCTTCAGAACGATTCTTTTATTATTTTAATTGTATCAATTATTGTTCTTTTCATTCAATGGTTTTATAATCGTCGAAAAACAAGGTTAAATCGTATAATTATATATAACATTTAAAAAACATAATATTTCTATTTTTATTCTTAATGCATGTATTATTTTAATCGAGATTCTATCGAATATTTATTATAAAATCTTTTATTATTATTCTCTAATTATTTTAATATAAAATTTCTTATAAAATCTTTAGTATTTTTAATAATTTCGATTGTAGTCATATTACTTTTTCAGATTTTATTTGTAATTCAAAGAATTTTACGATATAATATACAAATTATTTAGATGCGTTTATTAGCCCAAATTGAATTAATATTAAATATAATGATGTATGTTTCATTACATTTTTAGGTTTTTTATATGACAATAATTGTTCTTTAAATCTAATTTTGAAAACTATATCGTATTTGTGTATATTAATATAAATAAACGCTTACAATAATCCTTCAAGCTTTACTCTAAATAAATAAGGTACAGTATTATGAAAATCAACATGGAACTTTGATTTCAATTTTTAAATTTTATTATGTAATTATCATCATTATCGTCATTACTTTACTTTATTATGTGCAATTAAATATTTATGCAAAATTTATGTTTATTTTAATTTATATTATATTTCCATATTACGTAATTGCCTCTTATTGAGCGAGCCATAAAGATTATATGTAGTTTAAAATAGATTTTTAATTTCGAAATCATAACGTTTGTTATTAATAATAAATAACTAATTTAAAATTTCTTTCTTAGATTTGAAAATATTTAAGTTTACATTAATAAAAGAAGGTTGTAATTATGCAAGATCAAATAGATTATTATTACAAGATTATTAGGAGAGACTATAGTTTTAACATCACACTGATTCACATTTTAGGATCCATCTCTAGCACAAGTGTAGGATCTGGAATTTTACGAGATGTTACCGATGGAGCTTGTCCCGGCCCCTCGCAAACCGAGCAACCGCATCATACAGGTAAATAAACTTTTCCTAACTAAACGCAAATATTTGATTTAATAACTGACAATCTCGTAAGTCTATTGATATATTTCTTAGGTTAATGATAGTGCAGAAACTGTGAGTTCCCGTACCAAGTATATCGACCAAATGTGTATATTTTTAATTATACATACTCGTACATTTTCATTTTTAAATTAAAATTTAATGGTATTTGCTATATTTCATATTTATCACTGAAACGATTCAAGATAACTAAATTTAAAGTTTCATATTCACGATACGTTTGGGCTGGTATATTTAAAATTTTTATTTAATTAATATTAGTCGAGATGATTTGCAATTTTATGTTCACTTATATTCTTATATGAAATAGGTTCGTATATTATTAATTTTATTAATTGTAAATAACAATATATGGGATTGGTAATGATTAAACGGAACTTTTATTAAAAATAAATAAAAATTTTATTAATACACTAGGAGAAAGTATAATACAAATTATTAAACATAAAACATATTCAAAATTTATAAGGAAACTATAATATTAGAAATCCTATTTTTAATAAATACAAAATTATATGACTTCGGGACTTTTTAAAGATGATTTAAGAATTACAATAGATTATATTAAATTATTTGAGGAATATTTATGAGTATTTGCAAGTACATGTGATTAATCTTCAATTGGGGTTAAAGAAATCATACTTATATATATTCGTCTTTATTTATATGTAATTCAACTAAAATTCAATAAATTAAAAATAAAAATTATGAATTTCCGTTTTGTAAATATTAGGCATATAATATCAAACAAAAAATATTTATTTTATAACAATATTATCCAATTAAACATAAACAGAAATATATTATTGTAAATTATTCAACTATTACATCAAGGTTTTATATTAATTCAAAGTTAATTTATATTTAATTATTTTTTCTAAAAGTTAATGGACGACGGTTCTATAAAAGTATAAATAAAAGTTACTGGTACTTTTTTATCTTTGCTTTATAATATACAAACTCGTAGAAATAGACTAATAAATATTAATAAGACAATGGAAAAAAGAAATTTATAATTAATTAAAAAAACAATATTTTGATTTTTATTTGCTAAATAAAGTTTATCAATAAATTAATTTTATTAAAAATTATATATTATTCTTTTTTATTATATTTACTATTTAAATGTCTTAATGAAAGATCTTTTAAGGCTTCTAGTATATTTTTAAACATTATCGTAATAATAAGTAGTTAATTATATAATTAATTATAAATAGTTAATTATATATAGTTAATTATAAAATTTTCATATAAAGCTTAATTTAATTTAAAATTGTTATTTGAAAGTTATTTGAGTTTTTAATTTTTAAAATAAACCTTAATTATATAGATAAATGAATGTTTAAAAACGCATGTTTTTCTAAAATGCAAGTATTTATTTTATAACTGCATAGATGTATTATTTAAATTTAATTTACAAATTTTCATTCTAATTTTGCATTCATGCCACAACGATTATAAATATTAATATTTCTTATTTGTAATTATTAATACAGATTATAAAAGAAAACAGTTATAAGTTTACATTTGTGCAAAATATATACAATTTTTTCTAAATAATATTTTATTATAATATCTAAAAATATATATATTTTTTTGAAGTAATAAAATACTTTTTATAACAAGTTTGGAAACAATTTTAGAAATTTTGAAAACAATTTTAAAATTATTATATTTTCTTTAATTAGTAATCGTTCGGTTGCACTGTTAGCAGCTAAATGTATTGACTTTTAACATTAATTTCATTAATTTATGATAATTTTAATTTTTTAAAAACTTTATTATGAAAGATATGTAAAAACAATTACAGCAAGCATATAAATATGAAAATAAACTAATTAAATTACTGATTCGTATTACGGTAAATATCTGCCAAACCTGATTTTTGAGTTAGTATTATAAACAAATTATTAAAATATTGAAACATTGATAAATAATATTTTATATTATCTATGAGAGATTTTATTTTATTTGGTTCCAATTTACACTATTTATGAATTATATATTCAATTAATTAATTTAAATATATAATTATCCATGTTTACTGTTACACACAATATTAAAAAAATATGAAATAAATTATTACAATTACGTAATGATACACTTTCTTTTAAAAATTGTACAAAAACAAAAAAAATACAATTCTTTAAACAGAAATGATAGAGGTGAGAATAACATAAATCCAAGATAGTGCAGCGTTACAATGAGTGCTTACGAGAGAAATACGAGATAATTTTACATTGGTAAAGGCGAATAATAGTAGAATGTATCAATTAATATCAAGTAGTTAAAAGAAAAACTTTAATTTCATGCCAAAGATAAATTTAATTGTAAATAGACAATAGGACGAGAACAATTTAATGTTGTAACGTTATATTAAAGGTAGTCCATAAAGTAAAACAATTAGGTTGTATTGAATAAGATTGATGTTAATTTGCACTGTGAATATTGAATGAGAAGTATTTTAATAATAGCCGACGACAGAAGTATCAACAATAATCCTGTTAAATCAAGCTTGAAATCGTGGAAAAGTTATAAAAGTGAGTATTACATTATAGATACAGCAAAAATGTTTAATATTGGTGTTGTAAATAAGTCAAATTAGATATTACTACGTAAAACTAAATATTAAACAAAGAAGGAAAGCTTTGATTGAATAATTACTTATCAGTTACATAATGGTTGAGGTTTCTTAACAACGTTTGGACAGTTTGACTGAAATTTTAACGAGTCAATAAGTAAGTGTCTGTCAATACTAAGGGTCTATATAAAATATCAACGATACTGACAGGCATGAATGAAATATTAATAAATAAAGCTGGTATTAATAAAGAGAAAATACCAAGGATTAGAGATATAAGCTTCTGTTAGATTACTTATGATGTATGCAAAAACTAAGATCCATACAAGACATCGAAATATTGAACAAATGAAATATTTGCTAAATAACATAAAATTTAAAAAATAATTTTAACTAAATAACTTCAAAAAATCAGCAGCAATAATAACAAGGAGAATGCTGAATAATTCTCTTCAGTCTCTAGTAGGTTATTATTATTATTATTATTATTATTATTATTATTATTATTATTATTATTATTATTATTATTATTATTATTATTATTATTATCATCATTATTATTATTATTATTGGAGTTAACAAAACCATTATATTGAATTTATTGTATTGAGAATACTGAAGTTGTTACAAAGCGTAAATGCTAAAGGGCACATAGAGATAAATTTAAGGATGAATATTATTTTTGATGTTGCACATTATTTTTACGAAACACAATTAAAATACAAGCGAGTGATAGAGGAAACGAGAGTTCTTGATAAATAGGTGCAAAATCTGGTATGCACAATAAGAAAAATTAAAATTATTATCAAGGATGATACTCTTATTAGATACAAAAATATAAAATAAACAGCACATGATTATTTACGGGATGAGTTCATGAAAATTTATAAAATGCATGAATAATTGGAAAGAAAGTTAAGATAAACTATTCAATAGAATAAATGAGTAGTAAATGAGTTTGTAAATAATTCGAGAAAAATTATAAATAATGAAATTATAAAGTTGGATGAAATATCAAAGAAGACACGATGAGAAAAGTAGATATAGAAATAAGAATAGAGAATACAATAGATAATTCAATGGAAGGGTAAGTCATGGAAAATAATACCTTGAGAAAACTAAGATTGAAAAAGAAGGAAAACAGTCGGTAAGTGAAAACTAAAGCGTGTAATTTGCGAGTGTTTGTGGGAGGACTTAATATTTCAAAAAAGGAATGTTTTCGAGTAATATATTCTTCATATCCTATATATAAAGAATTAAAAAAATATATAAATATATAATTAATACATATAAATGTAATAAGTATATATATATTTATATTTATTCCATTATTGCTTGTACTTCCCTTTTTCATTTTTTAATAATATAATTTAATAAATTATATTTTAGTTAAAAATTTTAGTATGAAAAAGTTTTTATGCAATAATCAATATACTGAATCAATTACTATAATTATTACAGTTATTTTTTTTATCTAAAATTCATGTTTATGTAATTCTAGTGTATAGTATTCTATGATTTCTTTTAGTTTCCTAAATCAACTTAGTTAAAAAATCCATAATATTAATTATAGGACATAATTTATTTCAATAAGAAATAATGAAACCTTAATAACATATTTTCAAATATTATTGGTTTTACATTATAGTATTTATCATAGTTTCTAATCTTCATTGGAGAAACTTTGCAAAGTCAACTCATATCGATTTGGATATAATTTGTTATCAACATAAAATTTTTATTGCAACGATATATAGGATTGTTTATCGAAAATTAAAAGTGATTTTGATTTACTAATAAATATATAATTATACATTTTCGAAAATTTTAAGACTATATGTTACAAAGTTTTAACATTTAATATCTAATTTAAAAGAATTTGTTAAACTTTTTTTTTATTAAATGTAAGTTATTTTTGTATAGATAAAATTAATGAATATTATATACTGGTATATTATACGGTAACAAAATCTGTAACTATTTTACTCTCGTTTCAAATAATTTAGATACATTTTATGTTTATCTAAAAATTGTCCGAGTACAAGAAGTTATGAAGTCATAGTGATTAATCAGAAATATATCACTAGATATACAAAAATGAATTTAAGCTTTGGAAAATATGAGATTACTTACGATTAAAAGTTATTAAAGTAAATGCAAACTCGAGAATGATTAGTGAATAACATCCAAGCAAAATATTTGCATACTATTAAAAATGCCAAACATTAAAATAGAAATTGAAATTGAAGTACAAAATATATTTCAGATCAAATATATGCTTTATTTTCATTCACTATGTTTAACTATATCAAAAGACGATATATATTACGGGTTTAGACAATGAAAACATTTCAAACTTTAATGTAAAATTTAAAACCTAGATAAAATTTGATTATGTTCGAGTTCATTTAACACCATTAAAGATAGTATGTAGATGTAATGTAGTAATATATAATTAATTCTTATTGCCACAGCTTAATGATCTTATCGTTGTCTAAACCA